GATCCATGAATCTCTGAAAGGTCTGTACTGCGTCGTGTAAACCGAAAGGCATTCGCAGAAACTCAAATAAACCGAGTGGAGTAATAACCGCAGTTTTGGGAACATCTTTAGAGACCACATAAATCTGTTGATAAGCCCGGGCAAGATCAAGTCTTGAAAAAACTTTAGCACCGTTTTAACCCAATGAAAAGCCGTGAATATGGAGGATGGGTACCTTTCAGGCACTGTGACATTGTTGAGGGCTCTGTAATCTCCACAAGATCTCCAGATTCCTTAGGTATAATGTGTAAAGAAATCGCCCATGGGCTTTTGGAGGTACAGATGATGCCAAAATGGCACATAGGTTCAAACTCTACTCTGGCTGCTTCGAGCTTATCAGAGGCAGGTCATCTAGCCTTGGCGGTCGTTGGCGGACCTGTCCTGGCCACAACCATTTTGACATATTTGTGATTTCGTTATTGGTCCTCTTGTGTAACATTTGAAACAAGTTAGACGGTGAATAGCAATAAGGAAGCAGTAATTAATGGTAGCCAATTAGAAGGCGCTGCTCTTTTTCGGAGTGTGATGCCAGGTGATTTTGGTGAGATCATGAATTGTAGTTAGTGTATTTCGACAGAACCTTCAAAAACCTCAGTAGAAAATTGAAAATATGGTCATCTAGCCTTTGTTCAATCACCTTATATCCTTTAATTTATTCCACGTTTGCAGGCCAGAGAGAACGACTGCTGTATTGCACAGTTTGTTAACTAAACCATGCATTCAAGCAAAATTCATTATGTAATTTGGACGAGACAACATCATCTGTTACGCCTTCGTGATTTACTGTTTACCACTGTTGAAATGACGATGCAGAAGAACATTTCAAGCCTTTTCCTGAAAACGTGGTCTACTTGGCTTATCTAGTGGCAAACATATAATCAGGACAGAGGTAAGAAATAGGATTATACAATGTGACTTTATGGTCTTTGTGACATCGTGAATATGCGGAGAGTGCTTAAGTACTTACGGGATTATTCCAAGATGGCCATGTTTTCGATTCGGGTTCTTGATAACTTGGCAAAATTAATGGAATAAGAAGTTTATTTTTTTCGTACGTTTTTTTTCGAGTAAACGCGATGAAATGATTCGGCAACGTTGTTTTCACTTGTGGCATTACCACGTGCCAACTACTCATGGTAATCTAAGTAGCTTTTGATTTTACTTAACACAAGTCCTGTGAAACTGCAGTTTTTATTTTCGATAATTCAACAATGCAATTTAGTTGCCTATGCTAACGGCAAAATTCCATGTGTTCCATTTTTCCAATCACTATTTTTTTCTATTGCTGCGTAAATGAACTGGTCTTTGTCCCGAACCCGATTTCCTGTTCGCTGGATATGCTGCAACGAATGTGATTGAAACTCAATAATTAACCTGAACTTTCCCGTAACATAATTGGCGCACATACATAAAATCACCATATTTTACGATTTCCATTCAGGAATACTAGATTATGACTTGCTATATTTTATTTGAGCATGGTTATTTCAAATTATTTTTTAATTGATGTTTGCTCAAATATGAACATTTTGAAACATGCCAAATTTTCTATTGATACCTCGTATTTTAATATATAAATTGGTTTAAATAAAAGTAAATTTCAACGCTGGTTCAACTAATTTATGAAGTCCAATAAATGCCTTGTTTCTACTGCATTCGTGTTCATGCACCAGACGATGATTTTACAACGTAGATGCAAAACAAAATCAAGCTAACAGTTATTCGTTTCAATTTCTTACACCTAAATTAATGTTATCTTTTTGTTTATTGAGATTAGCAGCAGCAAGGGTGTACCAATTTATATCTTAGTCTTCAACGTTCACTCGCTTTTGAAATACTTGTGATAGTATTTATGCAGAAATGCTTTTATTATTACAGTTAAGTTAGAATGCTTGACTTACCAGGTACCACCCGCTTTTGTTCTTTGGGATAACATAAATAACCAGCTAGTTTACAAAACGACTGATGGTGGGTAATGCATTTTCTATGTTTGAAAAGCATTTGTAGCTTGTGTGCACTTTAACCCTATATAAGGCTTAATGCAATGTCGCGTCACAAATTCGATTCTATTTTTTGCCCATTGAAGGGTTTGCTTATGCATTTATTGGCATACTTTCGGGATAAGACATTGAATGTCGAGTATAGAGATTGTACATTCATTTTAAAATTCTCCTGCAAAATACTCCAGTTACTGGCATTCAAAATTTCTCATTAGCAATAAACTGTAAAGTTTGATTTTTCCTGTCATGCTGAATGAATATGAGGTCCAACAGATTCGAGTGTTATTCCCTTTTACCCACATTTTGTTTTCTCAAGCCATGAAGGCAGATTGCAGGTAAAAAATATCTACCACCCAAGTAACCTAATCGCCGTAGACGGCACAGATGTGTTTTCACTAAGATAGTCTTTCAATTAAAAAACTGATGTTAAAATGGACATGTTTAAACTCACCCAAATTCTGATCCTGATTCTACACCTACAAGAGTGTAGAATCAGGATTTCTGTAGAGGAATTTAACAATTGTTAACCTTGGTTCCTCATTATTGTTTCAAACTAAAATCCTTACATGTAACACCGAACATTTCATGACATTGTCAACAAGCCAGATCACTAAGTTGCAAGCGCACCAGTCTAGAGTAAAACACCTCAATACACATCAGTTGGCCTTGCGAACACCAAAAAATTGGCCGTTTCCTTTTCTTCAGGACTTTTAAAAATAATGTATTTTTTTAAAGAAAGATTTATTTATTTGGTGCTTTAATTGTTCACATTAGGGTTGGAAACTTTGAAATCAAACCAAGGATTTAAAAAAAGCAAAAATGTAATATATAAAGTCTTGAGCATGTATTCCCCATTAAAATAGGGCTAACGTTATATGCAGTGAGTCTTAAGTATATCGCTAAATGAAATCTTCGCCTACAGAAAACACGTGGTTTTGAGGCCTTTGTTCTAGGCGGGGAATAAAAGTTCTACACTCAAGTCAAACATTGGGAAAATAAATTATTTGTTATCTGCCGAAACAATGCGTTGCGATTATAGATAATTTCAAACTAAAGATACAAGTTTTAGGCTGCCAGTTATTTATAAATTTGACTCGGATTCGCCTGATTATTTAGGTAAGTTTTATAAAAAGCATTTAGTAGACCCAATGCCAGGACACGGTTTCACTTACTGTGAAGAAAACGTTTTCCACCCGTTCGCTTAAAGGTTAACGTAATTGCCTATTTATGAGTCGAATAATTGCAGAAAAATAGAGTGGATTAAATTAAAAGGCTTTCATTGCGTCTGTTGGACTTTTAAACATTTCCGGTTTATTGTACACCGGTAAAATAATTCCATGAATTTTTGCTTTCACTAAACTGCATTAACTTTAACATGACTTTAACATTTTTTAAAAGTATTTCGGGTGTAGTTTAAGGCTTCAGTTTAAACCATTGAATTTCTTTTTAACATACGTTTGGTCTGATATCATCCAAGTGATCGATTCGTGTAATGGGTCACTTCACTTCACATTGAAAAACGTTGGCTATTAGATTATGAAAAATTAAATTAGTTGGTTTATTTCCGAAAGCTTTTTCAAGCAGTCTCAGGTGTTCAAATTAATTAAATAAGCAACTTTTGTGCAATCTATGAGGGCTTATAAGAATAGATTGCATCAGTCACTTCCCGATTTCTGCAGCCGTGTTATTCAAGGCAGCAGGGTTCCGCAATCACCTACACCATACATTCAACAGCGATGTCGGTAGTGCATTTTTGTAGAAATTCTGAGTACGTGTAACACAAACAGCCAAGACATTCTAATGACATTTTACACCCATGCTTGAATGGTGTCAAAGAAATTCTTTATAACTTGTTTATTTTTTCTGGTTTTAGTTGATTCGTCTACTCAGGTTGAAGAGGATAAATTGTCAGATAATGGGAAATTAAGAAGATGACATTTGGCGTAAATTTGTTACAGCAGTCACCAGAAAATAAATTTTAGAAGCGCGATTTTCACAGTTTCCTTTAAAGGCGTTCAGGAAATTGGCTGCTCGAAATATCGAAATGCTTAACGTCACAGTCCAGTGAAAAAGGCAATATCACATAAAATCTGTAGAAAATTGTTAGTGCAAAAGTAATTTTCTTATAACAGCCGGTATAAATGGTAATTACTATTGTTTTGCCACTACTTATTGATTTAAAACCCACATTTTTTTAAATAAATTCCATTTAAGGATATGGTCAGGAAAAAATTAATTTCCTGGAAGCCGTCACCAATTCTTTAGGATCAGCATGCAACTTCCATTTTTCAACCTATGGATAGACCGAAGAATAGTAAGTTAAAAAATATCTATTCACATCCTAAGGTCTGGCAATACCGCTTAGTGATGCAGGACACAGCTAGGATAAGAGTGGCCCATTAGATATTATTGAACCTTCAAGCTATTTCACTTGTCATAAGGAGTAATTGTGAGCACAAGCACGCCTGGAGATATTCACAATGCCAGTGAAACTTCTTTTCAAGCCATGCCCACAATTTTACCATCCATTGAATGCTGTAAAACCCCAATCTCAGTACCTTAATGTAACAATTTAGAATGGAAACAGGCGATTTAATTCGCATTTGGTCAGCTACGTTTCCGCCTGTCACAGCGTTTACCGTTATTACTCATTAAACTCATATCCTCGAAACAATTCTGATTGAATTGGGCTTTGGAAAAAAATTGTACTTAATTAGTGCTTCTTTTAAGTGTATCACAGACGGTACTACGTTGTGGCGCTCAATCAAAAGCTTTACTATTCTTAGCTAACCCAATAAATGGTACTGCAAACGGCGCCCTACACAACTCAAGCGCACTTTTGTACACTTTGACCTGATTGGTTCACTCCTGCAATGTGATTGGTCCTCTTAATTTGTTGCACATTTTACTCGATAATTTACATATAAATAGAAAAAATGACCATTTCGTTTGTGTGCCTAAATGAGCGTCATGCAAAAATCACCATCCGGAAGACGGCAGCATCGTCATGGTCGTTCATCCGTCCCAAACATCAACACGCCACTACTAAATGCCGATTCAGATGGATTTGGAAATCAGGATTCAGCATTTTACGGACTTACGGACGCTAAACTGTCAGATCTAGAGTTGGCTAAACTTATCCAGGCCATGCGTTCAGATGACGCGGAAGCATTTGAAACCTTTACGTATGAGAGCATCCAAACCCTTGGCATAAACGTTGCTTTAATTAAACTGCCAGTGAGTTATCAATTATTGTTGTTATAATTTACGAATGATATTTTTTGTAAGTTATGAATAAAAGTCATTAAGTGAAACTAAAATTTTTGCCGTGCGATCGAACCCCTTTCTTCGCAGCAAAACCACGACATGCAGCGAAGAAGAATAACGACTTCTGCCACGAGACGTTCTTTTGATCAACTGGAGTTGTGAAAACAGTAAATAAAGGATTCAAACAGATGCGTGTCTTACGCAGGTAATGCCTTGAAAGCACTCAGGGCATCTTCTGATATGTCTTCTATCATTTGGCATTTGAAGGTACCAAAACATACGGGTCGTGGAATCAAACCTTTCTCGCTACGTAGTATTTAGTAGTTTAGTTCCATAATCGCAATCTGATTTACCTTATTAATGTCTTTCGAGGGTTATAATTGGTTGCACAGTTAGGAAGTAAAAATGTCGTTCGGGGCACCTTGAAATCAACCGTCCGGTACTGTTTATATGCCCACATATTCGCAGGGTGAAGAGGCGCCGTACGAACGTCAACTTTTATTAGACGTTAGCTTAACTATCACATTATAAATGGGTGACTACTAAATAATAGGTATGTGTGTCACAATGCCGTCTGAGTCTTGATCATCATTTCTACATTTAGTTATTTGATCCTTCTAAATTTATAAGAAGTGCAAGTAAGTTTAGTATTAGTCGTGGCAAACAACAGAGTATAAACAACACATCAGTTCAATCAAGGTGGTTTAATTAAAAGGTCGCCAGACAAGGGTACATTGATTTGCATTATAACAATAACGGGAAGAGTCAAAAGATCTGTCAAATGATGCTTCCTGAAATGGATCGGAACACCAGTATTTCTGATGGTTCATTGCACTAGTAACATCTGTAATGGCTGCGAAACAATTTAGAGTTATTAGATAAACATGAGTGGGCACTGTGGTGTGTTGAAATTTATCACCTAAACGGGACGCTATTACGCCTTTCGTATCTTAAATTTTCTTTCTGACAAGAAAGTCAGTATTAATAAATAAGAAGTGTTCGACTTCTGTCCAGGTGCTGTTCCTGAACATTTTTGTTTTTCAAATTTATGTTTATTTATTTATATAAAGTGTACAATTAGTTAGGCATACAAATGAAGATTCATTTAAGATTTCAAAAAAAAAACATTTAACTTTCCACAAATGAAAAGTTCAATCTGCTGTTTGTTTTACATATGATTATGTTGCTTTCCTTCCGTACATGTATTTTTTATTAATACATTCTAGTGTGCAGATTATATGGCATCAGCGTTTTGGAAGACGCTGCACAAGGTGGGGCTGTTGCACCTGGCGTGCATTCTCTCAGCGCATTCAATCATCGACATTATATTGAAGCACAATGTTTTACGCCTTCTGACGAATGTACGTTAAGGTCGCTTTCTTCCTAAATACTTTTAAAGCGACTGTTGAATGAATAAAGCGGTAATAAATTTGCTGCATTTTTCATACAGAAGCTAAAAAGTTCATTAATTTTTTCACTTATTCTAGTGAAATGTGTTTGAGGTTCCGTATGCAAAATGTTGTCACTAAAACTAATTTTAGATGATAACTAGGTAAAGGCAACGTTTAAGAACGTCAAGGATATGTGAGTTACAAGAGAGCTTATGGGTTTTAATGTGCAACCTCAGCTAATTTGTTAAAAGTTATGACAAATTGTTTTGGAATCAAAGTACAAGACTGCGTAAAAGTTGTGATGTCATGTGGCAATACCGCAATCTTCAGATAAAAGATGAGGTATTTGAGGAATGCCTAATATTCAAAGAACCTAAATGGGTCATTTAAAGAACACTTGAGGGGAAATTACAGGGCATACTAGTGAAATCTAACAAATGAATAGGAGCCAATAAGGAAGACGAAACTCGCGAACCAAAATGTATGTAATAGTAGCAGATGATGCTGATTTTTCGGGATTACATTAGACTTCCCTATTGAAAAAAACGGCTGTCTTTGGTTTGTTTTTTATTTAGGAAGACGTATCCGCAGTTCATGTATGCAGCGCCATGGGTGATTATGTCGGACTGCGAAAATTATTGAAAGCAGGCTATAATCCAATAACACAGGATAAGGTAAGGTGGACATGTTCATTCTAGAAAAAACGTCACGTAGTTATAAACAAGTCAACATTTTTATGAAGCTTCTATAGTATTTAACTCAGTATGTAGGTAAAATTTGAAATTGTTTACTCTATTCTAGTAATTTTTGTGGCCGTAGAAATTTGGTTAAATCTGCTTATTTTGTATTGTTTGCTTTTGCGGTTTTATTAAAATTTCCTTGTAAATCAAGGATGACACTATTATTAAAGGATTTTCTAAGATTTTTAAGTTTTTTTTGTTTGCGTATCAGTACGCTATAACTACCTCATAGCAGTACCTGCTATACACACCAACATATATGTGTCCTACATGAGCATCGCCAGAGAAAAAGTTACAAAATTTAGTGTGCCTTTTATTGTTCTATGACTTTCCTACCTAGAGACATCTGTTTCAAAAAAACATTGAAGTGCAAAATAGTGTCTCGCGGTTCATCTAAATTAATCTGCATTTATAATTCGAATTTATTAGTTTTATGTGTTCCAATTTAAATCAAAATAATTCTGTCTTTTTTGAAAAAATTTTCCATGTCTCTTTTTCTTGTTATGTAAATGTTAAACAGGATAGGTGAGCCATGCATCACAAAAGTTCTTATGCGCGTAATGTTCTTTGTTTAAAATTCGTTGATTGTGTTATACCTGTTTGTGGCAGGCGTATCATATCACGAAGTTAAACTTGCAACCGAGCATTCTAACATTTGTTCTTTAGTCTGATTTAAAAGGCACACAACAAATTCAGTTTACTTTTTTAGCCAACGCATTTGTAAAGTAACTTTTTAACAGCAACGTTGAACACGAAAAAGCAACTTACTTTAAGTTAAGTATTTTTAACTTTAGATGGGTCGAACACCTCTGCATTATGCTGCACAAACTAACTTACCAGCAGTCGTGATGCTATTGGCCAGGGACATTACATCTCTTCATGTCCAAGATAATGTGAGTGCTAGTAATTCTTTTTCAACCGTAAAAACGGTTATTTCACCAATATTTACCTGGTTATGAAGGTTTTACCTAGAAAAATAAAGATGAGTTACATGCCCTTCGCTTTACTATTCACACAGGGCTTTCTAAAACTAGGCATATTACGATTTTCAAAATTGATTCACTCTACCTGTTTGGCAGACTTCATAATTGACATCGTATTGTTAATATTACATTGTGCAATGTAAGGTGGATTTCATTGAATTTGATTGGAGAACAAATTGGAGAACAACATACTTTCTGAATATTTTGTCTAACTATGGTCAAGTAATTTAACTTGAGTTCACTAGAAATACTCAGCAAAGGAGCTTACGTCTAAAAATGTGCTGTGGCCATATGGAACACATTCTGCCAACGGTGTTTGGTTTTACTTAAAACAAGAAATAATTTGGTTCTTACTTCCAGGCATGTTTGTCAGTTTTTATTCCTCTGGCTTACACATCAAGAGTGGGGCGTAATAGTTTACTGATGCCAACTGTAAGTGAACATTTTAAAGTACGAATGTATCGCATGATGCTGCCACTGGATTAACAGGTTTAAGCACAGTCTCCCGATGCTTATCAAAAGAATAAAAGTGATAATTCCCAAAAAAAGTAAGCAGTTAAAGTTTGTTTAAAAATGTGATGGCAGAGATACAATTTTTAAAGTTAATCCCCAACTCAGTTCTGAGTTTCTGGTATGAGAATCCACAGGTCCTAAATGAACTTGACCAATGAAAGCGGTAGTTGAGTGAGCAAAAAAGGCAACTTGCACTCCTGACTATATCTTTTCCTAAACCTACTATTTTAAACAAAAAGAACATGCGTTTATCTGCAGTGCCGTGTATTTCACTTAAGAGGATGCCTGTTTCATATGAAATTCTATTCCTGAAATTATCATCTGAAATGGTCATGGTTATTTTTTATTAAAAAAACTAGCACCTTTCAATAAGGCATTGAAAACTAATTTATAGTTTGCCAACTGCTACTAATCTAAGATAAAATAACATAATCGAAACTTGTATCTCTACTTTCATAGTTGTGCAGTCAAATTTAGTGAATTTGCAGTATTTTTGACTCCAGAGGGGTACGACACTACGTGAAAATCAGACTGATTTCGACGTTAAATCTCGTTCATTCTTTTAAATCTAGTTCGGGAAACTTGCTGAGGATTTTTGCCAGCGTCAAAGGTTAGACAACATTCGTGACTTTCTCTTTGAACAGTCGAAAGCGCCCTCAACGACATACGTGACGGATATAGATGACTTAGATATGGATTTTGTAACAACTGTGGTAAGAACATAATGCATTTTGTTCCAATGTAGCCTTTTCAACGCTTCTAAAAGCTATATATTAAAGAAAAAAGTTGTCGAAATTCCTGAAATATATAAGCTGGCATCAAAGCAACTTCAGGTTCACATTAGAAAGGGGTGACTTTCAAACTATCAACGTCTTTGAGACTTAAAGAAATTGTTTAACCTCAAACACTTAGTTTTGGCTTTCAGTGTTATTTTTAATATGAACCTCTATAGTCAAGCAAAGTAAAATAGCCATCCATGTTTGAAGACAAAGACTAGACACACCTCCAGACAATGCCAACAATGATTTTGAGCTGGGCCTCGTTTTACAAGACGGTCAAACAAGAATAGTTTATATTGAAATTCAAAAAAATCATGCAATTTTAAGAAATTCCTAGTCTTCACGCTAACCGCTGTACAAAAATGGTAAAAAATGACGTGCGAACCTCATCGCCAAGAAAACTAGTCTCGTTTTTTACACTTCACCTTAAAGCATTTCCAATTTCGCGTCGTGCCCACCCTGGTAACTGCACGAGCAGTGTTTATGTGGCTTTAAGTGCTGTTAACGGCAATTTTTGTCACTGAAGCGGTAGGTTATTTACCGGAGGACATGACAAGGAGCTCCACATTACCTTAAACCGCGGTCAAATAGATTTTATTTTCACGATCTGGACATGCGAGCCTATTTGAGGGATTAAGGCGAGACACCTCACCTGGTAAGGCAATCGTGCTTCACATTTTATGTGCATATTTGTTGATGTGTTAACAGGAGATGAATGGTAATCCGAATACCACAAGCCTGGCTTTGCACTTTGAGGCTTACCTCTGCACCAGGGTGAATCCACTTTACTGGTGAGTTTGAGGGTGTCTCCTGGACTTATATCTCTTGTGCCCATGTTTAAGTTTTTTAAAAGAAGCACAATGAAGTCATCGCTATAACTCCTTGTTGGCCGAAAGTGGCATTTTCCGTCGCCTTATTCACATAATCGCTGTGTTAAATAACTAATGCGCCAAGTTTAAACTGGAGGTTGTGGGAAGCATGGGTGTGGGTGATGTTGAATTCATTTTACATGAAAATATCCCAGTTTATACGGAAAGTCAAAATCCTGCTTCTGTGGCACATTTAGTTCAAACAAAATGCACTAGAAATTACTCGTAATAAATAAAGTCGTTTCCTGTACTTGTGTTTTAAAACGTCACCAAAGCGTCCAACATATTTTTGTTCTTCAATTTGCCAGCTACAGAGGTCAGACTTACTGTGAATGCTGCGATGAAGCATACAATCACGAAGAATTTAGTGGAAATCCAACATTAGACAACCTCATTGCCAGTCGCAACGAACGTTTTATCAAGCGGCCGACAAATACCTTCGGGCAATTTGAAACTCCCTGCTCAAACGTCATGGCTGAGGTACGTTTATGAGCTCCGCTTCTATTCTTGCGCCTAGAATAGTGATGATCAAGGCCACTGTTCTGGTTTATTTACACAATAATGCAGATTGGTCTTGGCTGCTCCGCTAAGTGCAATCCGATTACTTATGATGAAAGTGACCATTTGTTTTGATCTAACTTACATGCACACCAAGAGTATCATTAATTGCAAGTGCACTTTTAAGTAATGTCCTTTATTTACTTGCAAGATAAAGATGCTAGCAGACAAGATGGAGGTTAAAAGAACGCTCTGCTCGCCTTCATTAGCAGCACTAAAGTAACATAGTTTCCGAAATAGCGAAATACTAAACCTCATGAATAACTCTCATATTGTGACATTTGCAACGCCTTGTACGTTCATAAGTTCTTCTCGTTGTAGTTTGTGCGCATGACCGACGACACGCCTATGGAGGACTTGGAAAAGTTGTTTTTTCATTTGTGGAATCTCCGCAAACCTGGCCTCGTTCTCACCCTTCACGGTTCAGTGCCAGTGACAAAAATGTCTCAACGGCGCTGCTACAACCTCATTTTCAACGTATTTCAAAAAACACGTATGCTTGGAAAACTGCAATTTTTAACTTTGGTGTTTGATTTTGAAATAGGAGCTGAAATATCGGTGGCATTGCTATGCAAACGACGTCTATTGATTCCCATAGGGAATCACGACATTTCTGAATAGATAAACCGCATTTTATAATTTTCATCAGATAAAAACATCCTTGATGCCACCATCACGATAACAAAGGACCATTGCCCAATCATAAACGTCAAGGCTAGAATCTAGGTCAAGTAGATCCCACTGTCTTGGCACAGCTTGCCTTGCTCAACCCTCAAGAGGTTGATCACATTACTGTCTGTTTAGTAGCGTACATTAACAAAGTATTTTTATCCAACGCATATTTCATCTTCCGTTCTCGAACAGTGATGGCTGGACAAGCCTATGTAGGCGTTACTCATTGCCTTAGTCTTAAGTTGTATGACTTGGACATCAGAGCATAAAAGAATCATTTTCGGTTTTGCACTGATGTTTTCAAATAAGCATTCAGTTCGTAAAATTTTAGGCTGCAATTCAGCCCCAGCTACAAACACTCTATCTTCCGCCTGTATCTGTACTTCTGCAAATACTCGATTCATAACTTCCAAATTTTGCACTGCCCTTTTAAGACATTTATTCCACACCCAATGCCATTTCAGACCTTCCTTGACAACAAATAAAATCACGTGAAGGCCATACACACTATCCAATTTGAGTCATGCAATAGGTTCCTGGTTCATTTGCCTGTTCTGTTTAGAAAGCAAAGTGAAATCAAAGCAACCTAAAATGTGTAATTTTAGTGACCTGGATAATCACGGATGGTCAGTACGGCAGTGTCGCCGAGGTAATGTCCATGGGAATGTCCGGGTACTCGGAGGCCTACGGACTGAAGCGATTGCAAGCCATCGGAATCGTTCCGTGGCGACGTCTACCTTTCCAGTCAGACCTGCGATCTTTGAATTATATGGTAGGCTTTGCAGGTTACGTGCAGAACCATGTAGCTTAAAATACTCAACTGTACTAAGGGATATTTTTGTTAATTAGTCATGGGAAGTTGTGGTGTGGTAGGGATAGTATTTTAGAAAGTTTTAAGTGGGGTTCCCTATACACGTATTTTTCACTTACAACATTAAAATTACAAGGCTTTAATAGCTTAAGTGTACTTTTTAGGGTAAACATACATTTATATTCGAAAACTGACCTTCGAACTCACCGCTTTGTCGTTGAAAATTAGGTGCTACTGAAGCATGAATATAAATTTTGGTTCATGCTGCCTATCTATTGACAGTGGTCTCGCGAAGCACCAAACAGTTACTGCGACAAGTATGTATAAACGTGGCCAAACCACAACCTGGAGCAGTTATGTAAGATCTACCTTGTCTAACTAGATTCCCTTCATGAAACGTTCAAGTGTGCACACTGCGGTTTCCGTGTGAAAAAAATCATCGAAAAACTCAGGCATGAATCTACAAATAATTTTGAAATTGGAAGGAGTTACGAAATCACGTCAAACAGAATCATCAGTGAACACGACAACCAAGAGAGACGTACCGGCTTGATTGCGAGCAGGCCGTACGTTTTTGGCAGATCTCATCTTTGGGTGCAGTGCGTTAATCAGGGGCGTTAATTAAATCACTACAAGATTAAAGGGAAACGAGATTGGGTAACCCCTTCTCCTAAATTATTCAAACGACAATTTACAGGATCTCCAGCCGTCGTACAAATGTAATCTCTGGGAAATAGCAATCTCCACAATTAGTGCAATTGCATTTACCCGAATAATCTTAAATCTTAGACAGTTCTAGGCCAGTGGTGTACTTGGACCACCGCACTAGCTTCCAATTAAATGACAACTAAAATTATACGAAGATGTCCATGGTTTATTATCAGCATAAGGAACAGTTTGCTTTGGTCCGACACAACCAAGGAAGAGCTGAAACGAGAGACAAGGAACCGTTTACTCGTGTCGTGTACGTGCATTGAGGGTGGGGCCTGACCGATGGTGTCTGAGTGAATTAGTAAAAGTACAAACGTCGGGATGACCAGATATGAGTGGTCCGTGCACGGAGGTGAGTGAGCAGACGGGCATGCCGTGAAAAGGGGGAATTAAACTGGAGCCCATACAAACAAATTTCATCCAAATATTTGCCTTTCATAATCTATTTTAAGGCACGAAGTTCCGTTCAAATATCATAGGAGCAAATGTCGGGCTTAAATTCAGGTACTTATGATTAAGTACATCTTTACTTCCTCTTTTGGTTCCGTTGAGGGGTCAACACAAGTTTCATTCCCACAAAGAGGTCTCAAGTCCGAGCTTCACACACCTTTGGCACCGTTTCACACCCGCTACCTCTTCATCGACTCCGGAGCGAAGAATGACATTCACTGTATTCAGGACTTCCGCACCAGATTTGAAGTTTGGCTTTCAAAAGTTAACTTCCGACCAAAAAACTGCACGATTTCGCGTATGTTTCTCTGCTGCTTTTCAGAAACACGGCAAACTGATTTGTTTAAACACCTTTGATTTCACTAAGTTAGGGAAGAGGTGCAACACGAGTTAATGCACTTCCATAGGCTGATTTCAAATTCAAAGCGGCAGCAAGTCACTACTTAGTTATGGAGAGGATTTTGATAATAGGAATAGTTTAGCATTTTACTGCTTTTTCTTTATAATTGTGAAACCTAACGGCAATATGGTTCAAATAGTTTGAATGCAAAGTGAATTATGGAACCAAGAAAATCGTTCTTTGTGATGTGGGACACGCACAGACTTGATTTGAATTAACTACCTTATAGACAATACGCCAGTATGTGGACTGTTGGTCTCTGGAAGGCCTGAGGATGCGCTAGGAGTTTGTGAGGCCCTAAAACAGAATATTCCCTTTGTCGTGGTGGCGGTAAGTAATTTTTTTAGCTCCCAAATTTTTACGTTAGGTAGATAAAGTGTTCAAAGTAGGTTGCCGAGAGTTTTACTTAACGTGCGAGCATCACTGGCATATTAGTAGTCGGTTTCATGCCCGAGACATGCTGGAAATTAGTCGGATATTAGGTTAAACATAAAAATATTTTGCATAATGTATTTTGAATGGTGAGTTACTTTAATGCAGGAAGCGGAAGAGGCAATAATATTCAACAAGAATTCATTTGATGAATCAGAAAATTACCTTAACTACGACCGCATCTTGGAATTGATAAAACTTATTCCTTGGAAAATAAATCATTTGATCAATCCATAAATGTCGATGGTTTTTACTGTGTCATTTCAATGACAAGTTAATCCAACCCTGTCTAATTATTATTTCGCTTTTCTAAGCTTCATAAAAATTGCTTGTTTTATGCTTTTTTTTAGAAACACCAAAATGAAAGTTACTTAATGCAACAAAAAAATAACATCTTTTTTTATTATTCTTCAGCCTTTTTACGAGATCAAACTGAAATCTGGTAATCGACTTGCCCTTAATGTAATTTGTGGCACCTGCTAGGAGCATGTCATTTTTACCACGCAGGTTGTTTGCGGACGTGTAAGCTGTCGGCACCATAGTTGGAAATATTTTTTTCACGTATGGTGGTAGCGTTTAACTAACTAGTGTTTTAAGGATTACGGTACCTCACCCGACACATCGGAAATTAACCCACTCGTTTACTTTACGAACCTCATATGCGTTCTTGTCCTTCCATAGTAGGAGAGTGTGTCAAATTAGGACGGGCGCACGGAATATACAGTGAAGTTTTGCTTAAGTGATTAATTATTTTTCAAACAGCGTTCCTCTCATATTTTACCCAGAGTATGCCTAGGTTTATGGAACCTTCTGTGATTTTAAACAAAAAAAATCCGAAATCAGGTATTGCGACATAGCATACCTTTGAGTGCTTTTTGTACGATATCTTATCAATGTAATAAAATAAATTACGCCTAATTGTTCATTATTGAGCATGGCGCCGTAAATCTGCATTGAAAGCCCATATTGTAGTTGCCGAAAACATACAAAGTGAAGTTTACGGTTTCCGTAAATCATAAATGGAAAAGCGGCGCCACTTCAAAATGCATCTGTCTATGTAATTTCATGGAAATCTGCAGCAACTCTTTTAATCTTTTGTCCGTAGAGTCAATTTGGCTTCAATGTTAGATATGCCAATGATAAGCTTGCATTATGCTACTTAGTTTTTACCTACTTTGACAATCAGAGTTACCTTGTTTTTCAGTGTGAAAAATTTTTAATGAGCCTAAATGAGCTATGCTTCTTTGGAGCTGAATTGCTTCCAGGCAGTTGCATTTTAATAAAATTGCACCCCATTCACTAAATAATTTTTGTTTTGTATTTCCCCGACTTTACATTAAGTGTAAATAATGTGGATTACAATAAAAAGTTTCTAACGCATTGGCATGTAAAGAACTATTTATATCTATGTAGTTGTCTGAACCTGAATTCATCCTCCAGTAACACCTAGTTTGTCAATTTGACTATAGATGTGTTGTGCAACTGGACAATTGCCAGTTAAACTGATACTTAATACAAACAAGGTTAGAAAAATTGGCGCTAAATTGGTCAAAGTGAGCCCATAAGGAATTTGACAGAACTCTGTTAAGAACCCTGGTAGAGACTACATTGCTTTCATTAGACGAAATTCCTTATCAAGATGAATTAAACTACAGATACAAATTCAGATTTCGTTAAGGTCTAAGTGGTAAATTCAGACTGTTAGGTGGTTAAAACTTTAAATAAATTCATTTGCATTCGCAAGAAAACTCCGTATTAGCATAAAAGACGTAAGGATTAGCAGATGTTAGCTGGCCTACCGCTTTGGTCGGTCTAAACATCACGTTTATTAATTACCTGAGGCGACACTCGCAGAACCTAAAGTAGAATCTTTAAACTTCATTTTAATGCCATGCTTAAAAGGCCAGCGTAATGCAGTACAGAATTACATTTTAGAAATAATTTAATAATTCTCATGATATTATTCATAAATGAGATTTATTGGGCTGAAAAGTAAATATGTAAAAACATTTTCCGTCGCACTTAGATCAAGACCGTTAGATAGAATATAAAACTGCAGAGGTTGTCTGCTGCGAAGGCAGGATAAGGCACCAGAAGCAATTTTTCAACCCAATGCAACAGTTAAGTCATGAAGTACTTAAACGCTAGTAATAAGCTGACAGTCAATTGGCCTTAGCAAAAGTTATTTAACACGGATTGCATTGCTAAGGTTGCCATGACAGCCTACAGACAAGTGGCTCGTTGTGTCAAATGGCTAATTACTCTGTTAAATGACAATTTTTAATGTGCACGCTTATTTAGGAGCATCCTCTAGTTTATGAGACGTCCGTGTATCTAAGGCCCCGGAATTGGCATCTGTGGGAGAAGAGGGCATCCCAAAGTGGATTAAACTGATTTTAAATTTCAAGGGAATCGTCTAATCCTTCAATAAAGGTTATCTAGTTAAAATGAACCTTTTAATGGTCTAATGCTACTTTAAAACTTATTTTGATTAGCCGTGAGCTGTTTTATTTCGAAGGTCAATTTATTTATATTCACCTGCTATAACACCGTTCATTCCAGGCTCACCTATAATTAATTGACTGTCTAATTTTATCCAGATCGTTGAAATTACGTGTAGAAGAAAAATTGTTCTGATGATCTCAGGTTCAAATTTTTTGTTCAGTCTGGAAAGGAGAATAATTAAGTCACACAACCAATGAAAGTCACCAAAGAAAATGGCTAAAAATAATTTTGAAAAAATGCAGCTAGGTATTTTTCACTTTTAACGTAGTTTATTTTCCTCTACCTGCAGTGGCCATTGCGCACTTTATGGATTTACTGTTCAAGTCCAGTAGTTTTTCAAACTGTGGAAATCACAACCATTAGTTGTTGCATAAAAGAGTTACGAAATTGCGTTCTACATTTGAACATAAAAATTTATGAACATTGACAAGGGATACATCGATTTCTAATGGCCATTTTATTTACTTAGAACTTTAGCTTAATTTCAGAATGTGAGAGCGTAATCCGAAGGTGGGCAAAACTTACACACAATGTCTTCAATTCAAGGTATTGTCATTTATTCCTTAAATAGGATAGCGGTGGTCTTGCGTCTATAATCGAACAGTATTTGGAGGAAACTAAGTACATGCAAGAAATGGGTCAGCATTATGCAGATGAGTCGACTGGCATACTGGAACCCGGCCATATTCACAGTACTGACAGGCAAGTCTTTGGTTTATTGCTGGGTATCTCTGCAACTTTTTTTGAAGACTTAACGGCCAACTCTAGTTATGTGACACACAATATATTTTTTTCTTTACCCGGGAAATATCATGGGGATGAAGCGCATACACTTGCGTCAGTTGTCCACAGATTCTTTCAATGGTAAGCTTGTGTCAAACAAAGCTGATTGCCTGAAATGGGACGCTAGGCCGCAGGCTTTGGACTGAGTGCAAATTGTCCTTCGATAACTAAACGCGAAGAGTTGAAGTTTTACTGATACACAAAACTGCCTACATTAATATCCATGTGTCTTATATCGATAGGAGAGTGGGTGCAGGAGGAACTTAGTAAGAGTGATGCTTTTAGAATGCTTTTGGGTAAATTATGTAGAAAAGGATTCTATTAACTTCCAAAACTTAGTCGAATCACCTTTATTTTACATAAACTTGTTGGGGATTTAGGATTCCAACATGATGGCTCATCGCCGGTTTGCGTCGTTGTTTGCACTAATCCCCCAAACAGGCCACATCAGTGGATGAGTCACCCACGGTATCCAACTGACAACCACATCCGTGTTAATCCGCTTTCGTCCGTCAGGTCAAGGTCACCCTTTGACGTATATAAGTGTTAAAATTCTGACAGATCACTCACACTTTGCTGACGCGATTAAAGCTCTCTGCACGAGCTCTGGTCTTGTAATTGCATCGGCGTGGGAAGGTTAGTTCTAGTGTCAACAGGGGATCTGGTGCCGTTATCTGAGTGATTTTCTCTTGGTTACGGACAAACGTAACAAAAATGTGCTGCAATAAATTGCGTTTGCAAAATGCATTCAGTTACATCATCATTATTGCGATATTCATTTGGAGCGTCAGATAAATAAATGCGTTACTTCAGTGTACGAGTCAACTTAGAAGCTCTTTGAAAACTTTGTCAAACTTTACGATTACGTAATTATTCAGTTACCGGATATGTCAAGTGCATTAAATGAGGCAAGTACGAAGGTGAACCAAATTTTTAAACCCTAGTCTAATTCACTCATTCTCATTCAGGAACTCCTCGCTCATGGTTCTTGGGGTTGTACTCAATCCAAATTCCAACCATTTACGTCACCATGTGACATATGGACTTTAAAATGTACTATTGGAGTAAAGTAAAACATGATCGATGTTTTAAGTTACGGCTGAGAAGTGAACTTTTCATGCACTTTTCATATTGCCATCTGCTCACCCACTTCCGCGTTTACTGTTGGGATCCCTTTGTTGAACGATGCAAAAAAAGTCACAATACATTGGGACAATTGTTTTAGTTTAGTCAATTTCGTAGCGCGCTATTCCATCTGTGGTCACAGTCATCGTAGGGTTTTTTGTATTGTTTGAATTCCTTAGCTAACTTAAGGGCTACTTAGAAGCCATGTGTTTGTATGCAGCGTTCTGCAGGTGACTCATCTTAATATTTAACGAAATAAAACAGTCATTGGTAAAATACCGCTGAACTTCGCTATGTAAATTGGGTACATCAATTGTGACTACACCGTTTAAGTCATTACTTATGTGGTAAAGTCCAGTGACTTCTTAAAACACCTTCCCATTGTGCCGCAGTGTAAACCTTGTGGGATTATGCATTTTCAATACTATTAACACAATGCAAAATTAGCGCACCTGTTGTAATAACCAAGTATTTTGTGGAATAAGTCATTTAAATTCAAACCATTTTAGATTAACGGAAATAATGTTGCGATACTGGGAGAACAACCACATCACAGATGAATTAATCTCGATTGTGACAAGCATCATGGACAATTCACACCTGATGCAGTTCTTTTTTTCGGAATACGATATTGAAGATTCCCTCAATGGAAAAATTGTCTCAGCACTCATCAACCCGGGTAAGACGGTTACACTGTCACTTTGTGACGCTAAACACTTGCCTTAATTAACAACTATATAAGTCATTGGCAGCCTTCGTTTGGCCAGCGTAGAGAAATAATTGGAGGATTATTTCCAAATTAAAAGCTGACCCCAACAACATCAGACGTCTTGTGACAATACAGCACAAGTCAAAGCCCAAATACAGCGGCTTTTGACAAGCAGAATCAATCATAAAAGTTCAACTTTGGCCGTTATCTGTGAATAACGACCACGAAGACATTAATTTCTTCCAAATATGCGGTGTTAGTACTTTCCCCAGTGCTGATGGTAGGTCACGGCCTCCGCAATGGCACTAACTTGTCGACCAGTGGGTGTTAAATGTGTTCGGCTGTCAGAAGTCAACTATTTCGCGGAAATGCCGATCTTTTAAATGTTGAACCATTAACAAAAGCACTGGAAAGAGTGTAGAAAAGAACGCGTGTTTTCGTAGCTAAACGCACGCAATGCTAAATCTGAATAAAATGCATCGGCATTCTGTACTGAGCATTTATTGCGCACACAAACGCGTAGCTTATACTTATTGGCGCATTTGGGCACGAAGCATTGGTTTCGTCGTGCCTTTAGGACCAAACTAAGCCGCTGTGAACCACTTCTCAGACCCATCATCATTGGCACTGACAGTAGGCACTGAACTACCAACTTAAAAGTCATTGCTGCTCCAGTAGACCAAAGATATAACTCACTTTCGATGAAGGAGCTCCTGTAACATTTTGTAGAGTTGGAAGTTCAATGTAGGCCTACAGCACATGAAGTGACACTGGTGGCGAGGTCATCTTATTTGATGTGTTTTAGCCCTATTTCAAGATGTGAGTAAGAAATATTCATGGAAACCGCGGTTGAAGTTAGCAATGGAACTCAATCAAACGGACATTGTACTGGAGGAGATTCTGGCTGACAGCCAATTAACGGTGAGACAAATAAGAATCAATAAATCAAGCGACTTATTTTCAAAAATTTCACGCCATTACGCCCTCAATTTATTAATACACAAAGAGCCTTAGTGTGCTGAATGAATAAATGAGTCCAGCGGGTTCGTTTATCTATTCACCAGATAGAAATGGTCTAGAAAGAACAAGTATTCTCCTCAAAGCACTTGAGAATGAGTTCCCGTTGGGGAGATAAGGGCTCGCCTGATTAGTGGTTTTCGAAGAAATGGATTTTGCATGTTGTAGGTGTCACCGTCCCAAAACGACATAACTTTAAAAAAATTGATGTAAAGAATCTGTATCATAAAATTGTTTGTCGGTATTGCTAGCCTGCGCAATTTCCCAAAATTGTTGAGAGGTAATTCGAAGAAGCGCAATGTTTACCAAGATATACCCGATTAAACCCTTTCCATCGTGCTGATTGTGACTCAGCAGACGCGTTGAAGGCAGAGAACTCAAGCTGTGGTTATCCACTATTAGGCCACGTGATTCTCTTAAGGTCTTGAATTGTTATGACAGGCTTAGCCGGGGTAATGAACAGCCCGACATAGAAAATAGCATTGCTATTACACAGAAGGTAGCTAATAAAATACTGACAGACGTTTTCTCTTTTTTGCAGACCGATGACATGGCTCCGTTCGCGAAAAGCTCCCTTCTCACAAACAAATTGCAGTTTCTTCGTCTTTTATGTGACGCAGGTCTTAATCTTTACGAATTTTCCGATCAGAAGACGGTCGAAGAACTTTTTACGATCGAACTGAATAGAAACGTGAGTTTTTTTGTACAAAATCTCAGTAGTTTGGTCTAAGAAAGCTTGTAAATCAAGGTGAGATATGCACTTCATTAGAAATTTTTTATTTTTTTATTGGTCAGATTTGACATCGATTTAATATCTATAATATTTAATTACAAGGAAGTGCAGATTACTGATTCAATAATAAATCTTTTCTATCATTGAAAAATGACTACTTTGATCTCTAACAAAAATATGCATAGTCGTCTTTGATTGTTTGACATTAACGTATACTTTGTGCCTGTAGAGTGTTGGAGGAAGAGCACTTAAACAATTTTTCCAGCACTACAATTCAAAGGTAAGATGCGCTTTTCTCAGTAATCTCTTTCAGTTTAAATGGAAGTTTAAACAAATTATCTTTGCTGTCACTCCTAGAAGTAAAATAGCCCACACCATAGTAACCTATTATATTCCACATCAGGTATGAATTATTTATCAAGAAACCGTTTGTCACATTCCCTCAATTTCTTCATCATTGCACTGCCCTTCAGTAGATTTCATTTCATTATTACGACTACAGAAACAAACGCGATTTGTCGATTAATATAGGCTCCAAGTAAATGTTTACGCACAACTTTTGTCACCTAAAGGAATCGCATTCTACAGTCATTTGTTGTTTGGTTTGAGCAACAGGATTGCCCTGCTAATTGCGTGAAATTTTCAATATCACATGACTTAACAGACATGATTTTTTGCAATATTGCCTTTTGAACATTCTAATATTTTGTGGCGGATTGTGTTACTTACGCATTTACATTATACAGGTGCCGGTTACTATAACAGTAGAAACTGTGGATCAAAATCTCAACAAGATGATGTCTCGCAAGTGTCTTACATTAACTGCACGCAATGAGAGACGTCCTCGATGCATCATTAGGAAGATAAAGGAATCAATATCAAACCAGTCAGGTAACGAAGGAAACCCTAAAAACACTGAGCTCTTTAAGCACACCCTCTAATCTGTCTAATGATACCCATTGGCTGTGTTCCCCTTTGGGCAAATATGGCGTCTCTTTGCCTCACCACCAGTAAGCCACCACAGTCTGAATACGTTTTCAATAAAAGCGTGTCGGAAGAATTCGCTAGACTGATGGCCAAAGTGAAGTGATCTTCTCAATGAATTAGATATTATAGAACCAGAGACGAAAAGAGGTCTAATATGACGCATCAAAGCCTTGTTTTGCGAATTTCGCCCGAGTCAAATTTGGGCATCTGAATTCAGATTCGTGTGCAAAGACTTGAGGCCCAAATCAGTCACGTGGGTCGACTCCCTGAAAACTTAATTACTTCAATATTTTAGTACCCAAAACGGCTTGTGCTCTGTACGAAAGTTACCGATTTAAGAATTCACATTTAGGGGAAGCATTCAGCTTTATTACTCTTGCACTAGCTCCGAGTATCATTAACTAACACAAGCGTCTGCCAGTGTTACCTCCCCATAATCCGTTAATTTCTGTTTAGATTGTCTACCCATAGTACACTTTTACGAACCTACACTGTATAATGTAGCCACTCAGTACAGGACAAGCCTAGGACTCACCATGTTGTTTTGTTGTCGTAATTGAACTCTGCAACTGTTGCCATGGTGCGGCATAAAGACGCACTTCGAAAATATGTCTTTCTCTTCCTTCCAATCTATAGAAGTCAAATTAGTTTACTTCTCAAAGTTGTGAACATAAATTCAGGCAGATGATCAGCTACTGCGTCCGGTTCGTTGCATTGAGAGAAATTACTATCCTTTTAGTCGACTTGTCTAACAGTATTCAGTATCAAAAAGAATGTGAGAGCTACGTACAGTACCTCTACTTGTGGTCCCTTGCCTCAAATCGCTTTGAGATCGCACAGTATCTGCTGACAATGCTGACCGACATAACCGCAGCGGCTTTGTTTGGGGCGTCTTTTCTGAGGCGGAAGGCGAGGATCGCTAGGTCGCTAACAGACCGTGACGAGCTGAAAAATTATTCCTTGTGAGTTTTGCAGCTGCGTTTCATTTGCTAGTAAAACAACCACAGTTTTTTTGCGAATTCACTACCCTTAAAAATTTCTTTAAATTTGTGCAGCTAAAGTCTGCTCTCACCATGTAAATGTGGCCCATTAATTTTAGACCTACGATGTTACTTTGCTAGTGAGTACAGTACAATTTTATCAATTACTCTTGACTTGCGAGAGATCGCTTATGAGTGGTACCGCCAGAAAGCGGAAAATAACGCTGATTTATAGAGCATCCCCAGCCAGCTTCCAAAACTGATTTTTGCAAACTTAAAGCTGGACAAAGTAGTTGAAAATTGTTTTGCTGAATTACGATCTTTCAAATTTCATCAGGATGTTCGAAGATATGGCACTTTCCGTTTTGAATCAGTGCTACGCGAGTAATGTGGAAAGCACGATGCAATTACTCATCATGGAACGTCGAAGTTTTGGAAAGTTGTCCTGTTTCATGTTGGCAGCCGAGGGAAATTGCAAGAACTTCATGGAACATCAGGCCTGTCAGGAGTACCTCGACCGTGTCTGGGCGCACACCTTGTTAGTGAAAGCAAGTTCTTTCCAGGTACGAATATTATACCAATATCTAAACGCAGATATTGTCTTGTTTCACACTCAGGCCTTTCTTTGCAAGGCTCTTTACACAAAGTAAACATCCATTTAAGGGGGGGAGGGTGTGCGAGCAGACAGGTACGCATGACTGACAGACATTCTGTGAAAGGAGGGGCAGTGTGTCGGAGGGCTTGGCGACAATGTTGACGGACGCAAATAGGAACGATTGCCTGTAGCTCTCCTCCTTAGTGAATGGAGTTGGAAAACCCTTTCTTCGAAACGTAATACTGAAAGGTAGGCCGTGGGTTTTGGTAGTGTAGGGAGTCAGGATACGCAGGCGTGAATTCAGCTGAAATATCTATCGTAACTGTAACAGGATGATGAGTAGTCACGAAAGCTGACAAAAACGATGTGGCGTCACCTAAAATAAATTTCTTTCACGTCTTTGTTCCCAAATTATTTTTGTGGTGAAAGATGGATACAGGTGGATATGTATCATCCGGAAATTATTAGGGTTAGAGATGAAACTTATTTGAGCTTGAAGCCAGGTTGAGCGAAGAGATAGCATCGGAACATTGAGTCAGGCGTAGTTGATGTGAATCGATTGCCCGACGGAATTTGAAAGAGAGCAGAAATGCACGACTTTTGCATTAGGAAGTACTACGCCACTTAAGTCGTACCGGAAGATAGTCAATTGACAGTTCGTACGAGGTCCATATACGTTTAACGTTGAGGTCACCAATTTGTCAAAGGTCCCGGCATGTGGTCTACAACAACTCCGGGGACACATCGTCTTACTTGGCCGATTAAGCCACGCAGATACCCGGAAAATTTAAGAAAACCGGAGATGGCTGAGACACCGTTCATTAGAGGGCTCAACGTAGTGCACGAGTTCAAAGTCAAACGAAGTTTTTCACCAATGCAATTTGTGTGAAGTAGTTAAAGTACTAATGAATGAAGCGGCGACACAACCGTTTATTAGATCGCTCAACCTAGTTGCTGTGCAAATGACTGAGTGGTCACATGCCCAGAGACGTGTGAGCATACTGCTCCGTATTACTGACGGACGAGCTGTGAAAATGGGGGCGACAATGTTGATTGGAGTGAATCAACACGATCTACTGCATGAGCAAAGGTACCGTTCTGCATGATAAGGGAATGAGCGGACATGCCCTCGATATCCATGAAGTGTCATGCCATAAAATACTGTCGATGCTGCGGGCGATCTAATACCTTTTCTGCGTTGATTACGAGGGACATGTTGGATCAAAAACCACTGCACTTAAACCTCAACCTTAATGCTTTACGCGCCACACCACCGACACGTCTGTCAATCTGAACTATTTAAAATCGGAAGTTGTACACAAACACTAGCTCTTATTAGTATTGTCAAGTCTTCCACCTTTCACACTCAACTGTTCGGATATCTGACTGGCTAAAACTGTCTCCGTTGTGAAAGACGATGTCGTATACGCCTCAACCTTGCCAACGACCTGCTGCGCTTTCAATGGCCAAAACTAACTTTCCGATTTCCTGCTTCTGTCATCTTTTTTTCAAGTTTTATTTCGCAATTTTCAACCACTCTGCAGTGCACCTCTGATTTACCCCTTGGGAAGATGAGTTTACTTCGGAACTAGCAATTTCAGCAAACGCGAAACATCACCTTCTCTTACCACCGATTATCTTCGACAGGCAAATAATCACGCGGCCACTGTGTTTCATCACATCACAGATTCACTTGGCTTAGTATGATAGTTGTTGACGACTGCCAGCCTTGCATGAAGTGCTCGCAAATGACTTGTGAATGTTTTTACTGCTCCAAAATTTAACTACTTGACTCCATCTCAGCGTCCCATGCGACGACTCATGTTCATTAAAATGTTCGTTGTAATTTGTAGTCACACTGCCTTTGTTCATGACCCAATCACAGAAAAGCACTAAAAAACACCTCAAAATGTTGAATGACTAAACTTCTATACACCGTTATCTCTGCCCCTTCACTATCCATGGCGAAAATGTAACCTAAAGGGTCATTCGCTTTGCGTCCAGAATCGACACAGAATGGCATTCTTTCTGGTTCAGGAAATATCAATGATTTATTTGTGCTTGTTTCCTTTAGTTTTTCTTAAGCCTCTTCGTCGGCGCGATTTGCCCACCAATCATTCCCTTCGTGGCTGAATATGATGAAACTCGATATTCACAAAATCCGTCCAATTCGGATGACGAAGTAAGCGTCCTTATGTTAGTTTTAAACAACTACCACGTGAAATACATTTATCAGTTTATACAATTCTGGCGCATAGGAACATATTTATTCAGCTATTTACACATTTAAATTAAGTACACAAAAATTCTTTTGTTTAGGTACCAGAAATGCAGTGAGATTTCATTCTGCAAAATTGTAGTAACACTAAAGTTTACCGTATTTCCTTGTTCAAGCCATTTTTTCTCATAAATCTGTCTTTTTACTTTTGTAGATCTTAATGGACTTTTACAGGCGCAAAAAAACCCACCTTAGGACTTATAAAAAAAAGCTGTTTGACTTTTACAAAGCTCCTTGCGTGCTACATGCCTACCAAGTTGTAAGTCCATCGTAGTTTTTTTCTGCTGCCTTGTTTAGTTTGCTTACACTAAGCCTTCACGAACTTACATGCGTGTTCATTTAGCCACAAAACTCCCTGCAACTGTGTACGTCCGCCAATTTCTAAGTTCTTACTCCACTGACAATGTTGCACTGATTTATAGATAAATATACCAAATTAAAACAACTGAGGTCAACTGTCTAGTAAGCGGTCGCGTCGACACGGCTTCCAGTCAAGAACAAAAACTCAAAATACAAATTCATAGACGAAGTCGCTGTGAAACTGTTTGTTCTCATAGTTTGCTGAATCGGATCTCATTAATTTTATTAGGCTCACAAAAAATTGTTCCGTAAGTAGCATTTTCCCGGTTCATAGCGTTTCCTATTTCGTATGTTAATTTAGCAAAGCCAAAAATGAACATTCAATAAAACACAGAGTACTTATAACCCAATAGAGATCTGTTTGACGTGTATTTCCTTTCGTAATAATGTTACTGTTATAAGAAATAAAAGGTTTTCTTTGAATGCTCGCATTTACCTGATTGTGCAAAAAGCAAATACTGAGGTTCCTATCGAGACTAAATAGGTAGTTTTGGAGGCTGTCCGACACAAAGCATGCTTTGATTCAATTACTATGTCTGATAAAGATTGAAGATTGTTTTGATAAGAGATATCAGTATAGGTGAATGGTGTACAATCCACAAATTTTGGTAAACCAAATTAACATGTTTCATGACTTTTAATCAGCAGGGAGAAGTAGACAGCTGTCAGGTTAAATATTGATCTTCGTTAAATTTAAATTGCTTGTTGTTTTTAAAAATTGCATAAAATCCTGGGAATTGTCATCATTCTTTTCTTTTGCAGGTGGCCTACTTTGTGCTGTTCTGTCTTTTTGCCCTTAACCTTCAATTTGAAATCACTTTCACTGACTACGGATGGATGGCCGTGGAAATCTGTGTTATAATTATGGCTACAGCCCATTTCATCGACTTTGTCAGAACTGTAAGTGGCTGATTTAACTGTCTTAGTGGTTAGACTCACAATGTCGATAAGAATACAAATGGTATTATTGCAGGCATTCCTAAGAACATGTTTACGCTACCAAGTCTCGATTCAAAAGGTAATTGCATAAATCAAACTCCAATTAATGGAAAACTGCAGGAATGACTTAAAGACTCAGCAATGTTTGTAATTGTACAGTCTCAAGGCTAACACAGATGCCTCAACGTCGCCGCATTAACAATGTGTCAAGACCGCAGGATGTTCTTCTGAGCGGCTACAGTAACATGCGAAGTAGGGACGCTGCAATGCGCTCTTTCTGCAATGACCCATTGCAACTTCGCATTAAGCAACACTGATTTTCCATCTTTTCATTTTGGCAACAGGCCTTCACCAAGTGGATATCATGGCGTGTGTTCTTGGGCCGACGAACTAACCAATTCGTTCTCGCCACGTTTTTCTTCTACGGTGTGGGGGTCACAATTCAAGTTCTGGTCATCCAACCAGTCAGAAGAACATTTGCCCTTGAGCAATTCGGTCGCATCTGTATCATCTTTGCTGCAAGCTTCCCCTACCAAAAGCTCTTATTGTTGCTCTCGATTAATCGTTACATCGGACCGAAGCTGCAGATGATAAGGAAAATGGTAAGTTAGTCTTCAAAATCGTGTAATGTGACAGCACTGAGGGCTCTTCTGTATCAACCCACTTCAAGTCGTATCCTTTCCCGTATCACGAATCCACTGAAATTCAAGCTCTATGAGTTTTCGCAAACATGAGGAGAAATTATTTACTTAGAAACTAAAACTATATCTTTATGGCTAAAATTAATTAATCCCTATTGTTAAGGTGGCGCTTTGTTGAGTCTCGGTGGGCAATCCAGCTATAAAAAAGCGTTTGCAAGTCTGCCCTGTGCTTCTGTCGATAAATGAACGGGAATATAAGTTTTGTTAATCGTATTCCAAATCTCTTACAAGTCCCGCCAAACGTATGTAGTGGAAAAATGAGAAATGTACATGCATAAATCAAGTACCAAAGTGCACCCAATATTTTCTATCAAATAATCCTGAACTTTGTTTCGATTGAAATGCAGCAAAGCAGATTTCCTTCTTTTAGCTAAACTTTCGAAGGAGCGTCCTGTATAATTTGTGCACAAAATTTCAGTTTCAAATTATTTTAATTGAAGTAACCCACATTAACATTGGATTTGACTGCTTTGTGAGGTTGAGGTACAATCTAACGTTGTACAACGTCACAACGAGTTCCACGTGACACCCAGCGATCAAATTGAGAGGGTCAGTTTATTTGGCGGTCAGAAAGTGTTGCGGTGCGTGTGGTCCTGGCTGTAGTTACGTGATGAAATAAGGAGTGTATGTGTGAATAGCATGGATTAGATTCGAGGTCTTGTGTGAACAACGGATGAAAAAAGTTCACAATCAGGTAGTCAAATATGTTCTTGTAGTAGTCTTGGGATAATCCTCTACTCATGTGTTACTTTACGAAATTTGTTTCTTACCGTTTGAAAAACCCGCTCACCATCCATATGGTAGAAGATATTTCTAAACCCGATGGTCGTTCATTTCCTCTGAACCATGAGAACGCACTTTTGCTGCCATTAATGACTACGGCAGAGAGGGCACATTTCGAGTGATTGTAACCCAACGAAAGGGCACAAATTAAAAGGTAAAATGCTCTGGCGTGCATTAGAAAAAGAAACGAGTGCAAAAACGTTTATGCTACTCACGAAAACTCATAATTCCCACTTAATTTGGTAGGAACCACGTGATAAACTGCCGAAACAATCAAGGAGAGCATAGAAATCCTTAAAGATCATTAAGCTGGGAAAACGGATTCCGTCTAAGAGACACAGAAAACAATCTGGTCTATAATAAATTAGGATTTGTTAATCGGAGGATCAGTTGAGTAAAGTGAGATGCTTCTGGCATATATTAGACAAATTTGTTTAGTACACTTTAAAAAAGGAACTAAATTAACTTAAAACAAGTTTAAATAAATGCAAAGAACGAAGATTAGTGGTCGCTTTTTTTCTGAAGGTCGTGCGGGATTTGCTACCGTTCCTCGTGATCGTGCTTATGTTTTGGACCCTATATACAATCGTTTTTTCGGCAATTATCCTCCGACCAAGTAGCCCCAGCGACGTAGATGGTGCCCTTAGCCGGATTTTGCGGATAATGAGGACCGGCTTCTTTCAAATGTTTGGTGAATTCGATTTGGAAGAACTTCTCAGCCATTACGGTCTGTTCAATTACCGTTTCCTAGCGTATTTTGCTATTTTAACTAGACCAATTATGAAATTGCAACTAAACCGTGTTTGATAGCAAAAATTAAATTCGAAATGCAGTTGAATTTATTTGTAGCAAAGCAGAGTATGGTTTTATAGACTGCCAGCTGGAAATCACTGTAACCTAATGATAGTAGGGCCTGTAGTGTAACGTAGTTCGATAAACGACAACCAAAGTTGAAAGTATAAAGCAACAGCGTTAAAGTGCGACTAAAAAACTTGAAAAATTCTACACATTAATCGTTGAGAGCTTTGTGTTTATGAGTCTTGAAATGGTCTGATTTTATATATACATGCTCTTGACGATGTATGAAACATTTATCTAGCAATTAAACCATAACCATGAATCATAACAACCATGCTTTGAAAGTGATGTTAATAAACATCTCCATGCCTTTACAGAAAGAAACAGCTGCAAGAATACCACAATGTCCGGATGCACTTACCCTTACTTCAAAATCGGGATACCCTTTCTTCTTTCGCTATTCACGCTAACGACTCACGTCCTACTTATTAACCTACTGATTGCGATTTTTACGTAAGAAACTGAATTTACATTGCAAGACCGCATTTTTTTCGTAAAACAATAACGATGACGCTGTAAAAATCTTCGTTATATACTATCTGGAGTGACACCTTGGGAGATGTGTTTAGAAGAACGAATGGAGCTTTAGAACAGATTGAAGCCGTTGTTAGCTTTAGCCTACTTTGAGCTGACACCGCATACAGTTCTAAATGGTAGGGCCTGCGAAACCATTTGTACGCCAAGGCATTTGGCTGCCTTCCTCCGCTTCATCCATGACTAACTGCATGGTCACAATCATTACACGCGTCCTCTCTGAGACAGCTAGCTAGACGCTGACCGGATCGTTTTTAAACAAACTGTTATTGTCAACTCTAAGTAACAGGCACACTAAGAGAAGGGTTGTCTCGGGCGAATATGTCTTCCTAAGACTGGGATGTCTTAAAAAATATGCGCATTTGGAAGATGATAAGGACATGACGCCAATGTCACAGTACACTGTCACACTTTTAGCAAAACGCACAGATGTTGTAGCCCCACAACAGTCAATTCGCTTTAAGCTGAAGCTTGTTAAATGAGTAGGTGATGCACAACTTCTGTTTGCTTGAACCGATATAAGAGAAAAGATCTCTACTTCAGTTTGAAATAATGGGAACTTATTGTTACTTATCGATTTGAAGTAACTCTCAGACAGCTTGACCGCATTCTGCTTCATGTCCATTCCAGAAAGACATATGATGACATGGAAGCGGTCTCTCAGCAGCTGTGGACTATGCAGAGATACGTACTGATGGACAGTGTCCTAACACAACCTACTCTACCCGTAACCTTCACGGCTTTTACGCAAATTTGCCTGTTTTTACGATTTAAGTGTGGACGTTTCACTTCATGCGATTCTGGTAAACACGGACCATTTCGTAAGTCCTTTCGAAACACGCGCATAAGGCTACTATAGGTTAGACTTTTTGTAAAACCACTCCATGTGCTGACCGCAGAAGTTATCAAAAATATTTTTGTAATATCTCAAAGTAAAGAAGCTTTTAGTGTGTGTTCACTTTACTTTTTTTTAAATAAGTGCTCTAATCAAGTCTACACAAGACAACACAGGCAAACAAAACCGGAAAACGAATTTATTAGAAACTTCCAATTGTAAGCACGAAGGAGGAAATGTACAAAATCTGACTTGCGAGGCATTAAAACGGTCTGACTCTCTGTAGAGGTTATTGGCCGCCGATGCGAGAAGTTGGGTTACGATACTAATCTTTTAGACCTTAGGGCTTAAAATTTTCGGTAGGGATTCAGCTAACGTCGACGGATCCAAATGCCAACCAGTGGAGCTAGTTCGCGGCATAAGGGAGCACATCGAGTAATTCCATTTCATAACAGCGGTAGGTTAAATGGGGTTTGATGATTAAGGATTCATCAGGTATCCCTCAAAGGTAGTTGGGAAACCAACTAAAGTCATTTTCACAACCGAGTGTCTCAGCAAATTACCCTACTTGGCCTTATGTAATGAATTTTCGATTTAAGAAAAATCATTCCAAAATTCTCCGGCCCGGGAAAGACAACTAATAAACTGGGAGAAATTGAACGCTTTGATAGCTTTGAATGACCAAGAAAGTGGGGATGATCCAAAAAGGAAGAACCAACTTGACGGGACCTCCCAGTGGTTCCAGCGATACGCCACGCGTGGCCACCAGGATAAGCGCTTGAACGTTATTCGACGGCTTCTACCAAGAGACATCACGATCCAAAGCCTCTCTCAGGCCCGGATGAAGAAGACGGTGATGGAACAGAAGATTGACAACATTGATCGGACATTAGAATCAATTATGAGTCTTGTAAGTTAGATATTTTACCAGAACACACAACTGTGGTGTTGATGAGATTTGAAAAAGCACCCAGAAGTCAACTAGCTCCATCATGCAAGTTCGAGCGTAAGCAAACAATAACAATTCTACGGCCGTGGTCTGTAAAACGCAATTTAAAGTGTTTATAACCACCGGTCAAACTTATTTCACTTTTCCACGCTCTTCTAAACAACGGAGCTTACCTTCTGATGTCACCGACGAGGGAATTTACACCAATAATTAATAAAAATCGTGTCAAGTGGCTTGTAATCGTTGTGTTGATTTTGGATCAACCGATGATTAAAGGTCCACTCTCTAGAGTTGAGTCTTGTGCGTGTTCGCTGCTGTTTTTACTGGGTCCGACTTTGGATGTAAAAGAATACCCAGTCAAAATTGTATTTCCAAAAATCGAATTTTAAAAACTGTCTGCTTTATAGATAAAGAGTAAGTATCAGGGAACGCTTTCACACTCTCCATCGGTCCGAAGGCGTAAGTTCCTGCAATATTATTTTTCTGTTGTCTCTATAGTGTAATTGTTTCAAGATTCATATCAAATTGATTGGATGTGATTACTTATATTAAAACCAATACAATATTAACGAAGATTTGAAGCCAAAACAGCATAACAAGAAAAAAGACACATGAAAAAAATGAGTGTGCACCCATCATGATAGAAAAAGTGACGAATGTTTGCGTCGGGATTCTTTCAATAAATTCTCAAGCCGTCAGGTAGTACCTTTGTAGAAACTACACTATGTTCTAACTTAAGGCTTTTAGCAAAAATTGTTTCACTTGAATAGCTTGAAATATTAGTGTACAAGAATTTAAAAGTACTAGCGCTGACTAGAACAACATCTTCTGTTTGCCGTGGAAGAGGTTAAACTGTCATGATGAATTAATGCAGAACAACAGAAAACTCCAAATTTCACCACAAACACAAAGGTTAGGGACACATTTTAAAACCAACTGCCCTGATGGTCACCATGGTTGATGGCAGAACATATAAACAACAACACTTTGTTAAAATAATATCATATGACATCAAACCAATTACAATCTACAAAAAAAAATCTTTATTAATAACTTTATGGTGTGAGTTAATTTGTCAGGATGAAGCCAAGTGAACCAAGCCATCATACTAGGTATAATTACTTTCATAATGAACACCTAAATCACATTAAAAAAGATATGAAAAAGTCTTCTGCTTGTCATAGATTGAGCTCTCGCTAGAAATACCCTTCACTGTGTAAAGCCCCTCTTTAAATCTAGGAGGATTGGTTATTACCCTAATTTGCAACATTACGTAATAAATTCTTAAATTGCTTTGTCATCAGTTTTGATCAACTCAAAAGCTACAAAATTTCATTTTTTAACACCAATTTAAGGGATCGACAATTTGTACCATGAAAAACAACGAGTAGGCTATGGTAGGTCGTCCAGAAGCTAATGCCAGTAACGTTGGAACTGTGAGCTTCCAGCTGGCAAGTGCCTGCGTTAAAAACAGCTCAAGACTGCTAGAAGTCCTTGCGCAATCGATACTAGATTAAGTTCATTCAAATTACCAGCGTCCATGAGCTCCAACTTGATTTAATTTACACTCTAATGAAATTTCCGATCATAACTTAATACTTGAAACAAAAAGTAGTTAAACAGTTTCATCATCAAATAAATCTAATGCTAAACTCATCAGGTTAGGCAATTAGCGTTGATTAAAATTCAATTTCGACTCTGTAAAGCGTCATTATTACACCACGGAGTTTAGCAGATGAATGACAAGCGCAGCCAAACTCATTATATGCCGTTTCCTTTAGCCGAACTGCCGCCTTCGTTGATCACAAGCAGGCAATCACTGGGTGCATGGAATGAGGGTTCAGAAGCTCCTACATCGTTCCAATGGCACAACCACCAGTTGGCCTTCTACGCCACGATAAACGCTGATGTTGTGCCCCACACACTGGACCCTCCGGTTCCTTGGGAGGCAAGTTCGCTCCTGGTCTTTTGATCGTTTCAACCATCTTGTCGTCGATGCGTTCACATAAACAATTCAACTTCAACACGCATAACACGCAGTACACCGTGGTTCCCATAAATTTGTCAATTACTTCGAGGATAAAACGGTACATTCCATTCCTTCGGTTGAAACTAATCCTCATATCTTTCTTTCAAGCGTCGGGGTGTAAAATCAAGACGAGCCAAACATCCCAAGTTGCAGTTAAAAATGAAGAGGTAAAAATGTAAGCAAATGCTTCATACAGTCACAGCGGTAGGTTTCTCTGCAGCAATTGAATAAACTAGATAATTCGACAACAGGATAGGTTCAAAGAGTTATAAAGAGGAAAATGTTTGACAAGCCTATCCTCCATCCCACTTTTGGACAATACTGGACTATGGTGGTTTGCTAAATGTTAAGCTCTGACTGGTTATTCATCGTGACTTTAGGAGCCTTTTCCAGATTACGTACCACTTCGATGGAATCCCGACACAAATCTGGTCCCAGCTTGGCAGGTCACCGTTGATCAACTCTCCCCAAGAAAACTCAATGTCAAACGGCTCTCCCAACACATGCTCTCGGTCGACTCAACTGCCCTGACTTTCGCCTCCAGCGGGTCTGAGACGATTCCCCGGAACCCCGAAGGTCGGGTTGGCACGTCTGGAAAGGGCATCTTGCCACAGTTCGGTGAAAACCCTGCTTGTGTTGTGGTCGTTACGCGAACTGGATGGGCCAACGTCGATGAGTTTCTAGTCCTTAAGGGAGCCCGTGTACAGGCCCAGTTTCCGTGGGTAAGGAGCCCATTTTTCACTGGAAGCCCTTGTTGTGGGCCCCAGCATGTGGCCTTGAACCACGCCGGGGCCACGGAATTAACCCTGGCCCGATTACGCTTTCCTGATCCCCGCGATAAAGAAAAAGACCGAAGAGGACGGGACACAACCGTTTACTTGGGTGTCGTTTTGTCGTGTGTGGGGTTTGCGTCTGTGTATTTATACCTCGGATGTGTGAGTCATACATACGCTAACATCGAGACCTAGGTGTGGGGATACTCCAAGATAAATATTCGTGCTAATTAAGGGAGAGTTGAGGATTCGCGCGGCTGGCGACATGCTGCGACAAAGGGGAAACCTGTGTAGGAGGTGGAGCGACCGGATTAAGGCGTTGAATAAACACAACATCCTCTTTATGAAGCAACAGCTGCACTACCAAAGGAACCGTCAGGGAACACATCAATTGCATTGATTCCCTTGAATAGGTCTCAAGTACTGTCAGAAAATTCCTCGTGTTTAGTAAAAAAGCTTCCCGACACAAGCTCTAGGATGTTTTCAATTTTGAACCGATTAATTCACGGCCATCCCTAATTAAACATTCAAATATTTACAGTTGCTCAGTCAGTTAAAAAATGAACTCAATTCCAGACTTCCGTTTATTGTCACCGGAAATTGAAGCAAAAAGTTGTTTTTGTCACAGTAAAAGAACCGGTAAATTGGAAAAGCGTTAATCAACATTTCGTGCTTTTTATCTCAACCGCGGTTCCTCTGTTGTGTGTCTCAGTTCCTCTGCCGGCACGAAAGAGATTGCAGTCAAATCTCATGTTTCAAGGAGATGGTGCGAGCGTTCTGTCAAAAATTGAACTCCGTGGCGAGCAGGTCGGAGGACGCGCATTCAACAATCCTAAGAAAACTGATCGGTGGCTACAACAAACACGTGAGTCAATTGCGCTGCTCACACTCAAACTTAAGCCAAAGTTACACTGACTGATACATTTTTTTAGATCCACGTAGGCGCAGTAACGGATCCAATAAACTGTGACAACGCCTGGCTCGACATAACAGTTGTCCATTTCAAGATCACGACCGAATTCCCCACGAGGACTCAGATTGAGCAGGTAAGTCGAAGCGTGACTAAACATTAGGCCCAGTCGTTGTAAGTACGCGTCCATATGGTATATAGGTGAAAATTTGTGAGGTCCGAACAAATCAGCCCTTACTTACGCTCGACTTCATCAAAACGATGTTTGTAGTAAAGCGCTACAAAACATGTTAAAAGCAAAATAAATGCCGAACCACAGCCGTGATTTATGGCCGTAAATTTTCAAGTCAAACACAATAATCTCTAGCACTTGTGAACAAACGAAAAGTTGAATGCACTTTTATGAGGTGATAAGGTTCACAGGACTACCGACTAGGGGTCCGGCCTAACAATAAGGATTTGCATGTGCAATAAGTAGTCGGGAGCCTCTGTGTAGATAGGGGAGGGAGAAGAATTATAGTGAAGAAATATTGGCTAACGAGAGCACTTAGTAATTGGGAAAGTTGTGCAGTAAGACCTCAAAAGAAGCGGTGTGGATTTGGTTGTAGACATCTACTGTTGTGTGCAGAAGTTGATTTTGCTTAACCACTACTATCTGTTGGGGTTCTTTTAGCTCCTAACCGTTAAAGAAAGTAGAGCAATCTGGGTAAGAATGGACGACCTACCACCAATGAGGAAAAGTCACCTGGAGGGACTGAAGGCAATTCAACAGAAATAACCTCGGCGCCGAGGTGGTATTGGTCTTCACTTGGATTTACTAGACAACTCTTCAGTGTAAACATCGCCATGGCATTTTTATGGCGATGAGATGTTGTGCGCCGCAATGAAGCTACTAGAAACTAATCAATGGGAAGTGCTACTGCATCGCCTCTAAACACGCATTTAAATAAATTCAAACTTCGATAAAGTCAAGACCCTGCTACTGACTAGTCGAGATGAAGTGCCTTTAGTGATCGGTGGTACCACTACGTTATAGATACCACAAGCAAAATTGAGTTCATTGTGAACATCAAGGTAAGTCGCAATGGAACACGACTAAATGCGACGAGCCTTACAGCAATGACTCGTAAACCTATGCGGCCTACAAAGAGGGTCAGGACACACAAGGTGACTATAACTTCATTAATCAGCAGAGAATCAGGGCGGGTAGTAATAACAGAAAACTGATTTTCTGGGACTATACAAGAAAAGATACATTAAGATACATTCATCAAGGTCATGTGTAGGAGATTACAAGGAAATAGGTCAAAGTCATTGTCAGCTCAAAAGAGGAGTCGCCTGTCATGTTCAACCTCAACGCTTCGCATATTTACTCAATTACGGACCTAGGATTTTGAGTTCCATCACATTAGCAGCTTGACAACCATTTTGCTGGCACGTAAAGGCTCCCAGAATCTACAATACTTTTCAGCCGAGAACAATTACCATAAATAATAGTTCTGATGTCATCCGCATAAGGTAACAGATAGGCTAGAACGTGGCAAGTAGATGCCAAAATTTTGTCTCGACCGAGATGAACTAGTCTTGACAACAGTCACATGTAGGGAAAAGCCTTCTTACAGGCATGTTACACATCTTTCGATTGAAAAAATGCACACAATTTGATGTCATACTTGGAGCTAGGGCTCGAAAATCACAACGAACTAGACTTTAGCACGAAAGTAGTTTTGGTTTTCCAAAAACGGATGACATTAAATTTGTTTCAAAGGCCACGTGCTGATGATAAGGCACTTGGTCTTGAAAAGACGTCACTCCTAGCTTATTTTGGAAGCAAATCGTGCCCAATTTTGCCCTCCGATGCTAATTTATGATGGTTACTAACAAGTGCAGACATGGAGCATCTTCGACTTAAGTTAATTTTATCTACGTAAAGGCATGAAGGCCACTTGCGCTTACAGTGATACGTGCAGACTAACAGAACGTAGGTAGCAGTTTTTCTAAGTCAAAGATCACGAATACCGCTCTGCCGCAAAAACAAACCCATAATTCAATTTGAATGCCATTTAAATGTGCAAGGCTTGCTGTAGGCTTAAATCTACCAAACATATTAACTGGAGATATACCATTTTGAAGTCGTTAAGAAGTGTACTTTAGTACCACATGAATCGGCCTCACAAAACAAGACAATATTAGAAATAGGAATCTTAAACACGACGAAGTCGTCTCTGTTTTGAAGAAACCTGCATTGGTCACAGAAAATGGATCACCCGCAAGAGTTAACCGGCATAAAAACGGACTTTGTGCCACATCGATATTACTGTCATTCGAAAGATTCATATTCCGTAATGCATAACCTCTACGACAGCATAAATTAGATTGGAAGAGTGACTTACCACCACTGAATAGCAAATGGTCAATAAATAAGTTTATAAGCCATAACTTGCCGAGAGAGAGTAGGTCGACTCAAAATCCAACAGTGCTACTAGCAAAAAAGCTTAATCTAAGAGGTGAAGCTACAGATAAAGTACATTGAAAGTGACTGCTGGAGGAAAGCCCAGAAGTAGAGCCTTTCTTTGTCGTCGATTTGAAGGCCTTGATTAACACACAATGGGAAGGTAACAGAAATCGAGAGCCTCTATAAACTACAGCAGTTCTTTTTAGAAAAACCTTCTCGATTTTTTTCACAAAAAAAGTACAAAATACCTTTTGAGGATTAAATGTTGGTAAAAAAAGCAGTGATAAGAAACTACAAACATCTGATTGATGATCCAAATTCAAATGTAGTTACTCGTGATCCGGTGCAGGCTGAAAGTCACGCATGAAGGCAATTAAGAATTCTGTTCATTTTGACTATCCGGCAGTTGTCATACTAGACTCTTTGAAAAGATACAATTTTGGAGCCACAACGAAAATTGTGAATATTTTGGACGAAAGAAATCGGGACCTTAGTAGTAATGGTAACAACTATACGTCCAGTGCAAGTTAACTGCATCGCATCGGCGGAAAAAAAACTGTCCTTTGCCAAGCAGACGCCAATAGAAACCTTCAATTCTAAGTGCTGTTTATAAATTCTAGAGACCAAGACGACGTCCCACTTAATGCTTTTATCCAAATACGTTAAAACATGGCAAACACCACAAACCACCTTACTTGACTCTGTCAATGTAAGCATATTTGATCAAAATAAGGAGTTTCGTACAATACTATTGAGAGGAAAATTGCTGGAGGGGCGCAATTCGTAAAGCGTTGGCGTTCCTCGTAAATTCTGTCGTGTGCAAAGAACCATGATACACCTCTAATTTAGTTCTGAATGAGAATGAAGCAGCACAGAAAACAAATTATTTAAACTTTGGGTTGCCGACTAATACCATGGAAAAATAACCGACAACGAAAGAAAAAGTCCAATTACACCAATGAGGACGGATAAAAGATGAATGTGAAATCATTTATTCGAGTCAGGAATACTTAACACTTTGTAGTTGGATTACTTAATGACTTTAAAAGAGGTAAAACTAAGATTATCAACAACTTCCTCGTTTTTAAATTCACATTTCTCAATTCGGGATTTTGGACTTCCCGTAGTTCGAAGCCAGCGCTTACTAAAAAAATATGTAAAGTAAAAAATCTTACAATGCATCAATCTGAGGTGCAGGTCCTTCGGCTTCACCTTCAACAGTTCCCCTAGCTGTGTTTCTTACCCATCCAACAATATTATTTTCCTTCGCTGTCAGGGCTGTATACTAAGACCCATATATATCAAATACATATGTTTACAGACTTTGCGAAAGAAGACACCTAAGATTGTATTTATTAAGACTGGTGCAGCGATACACTTACCCTGCACTTTCCCGAACACTTCGAAAACTACCTTCTTTAAGTGACCAGAGTCACCGGGAGCGGCTGCCATGACAACAAAGGTTCAGTTAGGAAAGTATCTCAAAACCAACCAATAAGAATTTGAGCTGGCAATTTTCATTTCTAACTCGCTTGTAATATTTGTAGATTCTAATAGTTAAAACAAATTAATATCCATGTTCATTCCATACAATGATTTTACCGTCCAAGTGCCATTTATCCTCTACGTTACTACACTAGCCTGTAAACGTTCACAATGACTATATCGTTGCCGCATATTAAATGCCTCTTTATTCAAAGGCTCCCAAGATTGTTTTTAAAATAGATTTGGCTTAAAAATGCCCCATTTTTTAATTTTTATTTTCATTTCCCTCTAATCGCGATTGTTTACATATCCATATGGTGGTTTTAAAGGCAGGCTAAACTTAAAAGAAGTAAAATTAGGAGTGCAAAGTATTAAGAAGGTGCATGCATTGATTTCAAATTCGGTTTTTCTTCCCTGGTTGAATCCCTCAGTCCTGTGTGCAATAACTGTCGTTTTAGAGCAGGAATGTTTTTTCCAATGTAGTCAGGTGACTTTTCCTCATCAAGGGTAATTGTTTCAGAGGGACCCAAGTAGCTTTGCTTTCCTTGATTGCAAATAGCTACAAACATAAATTTCAATTAACTTAAAGCCTTAAAAAGCGTGGTAGATCCACTTGTTCGCCTCTGAGTCTATAATTTTAATTGCTATAATTCTATGCTTATAGTTGTAAATTGAATTTGTGTAAAGAATGTGCTAATCAATATGCTGCTTAAGGGCAATGTATAAAATTCTTTCCTTTCACCCATGACGTAAGGTGTAGCCCGAATCTTATTATCTGGGATAATTTTTTTCCAAACTTTATTTGTAAATACAGATCCTTTACATAGAAAATACAATGTTTCTCTATTTGCTTTAATTCCTACTTTGTCTTAAAATTTTGATATTTAGGTCGATTTGGTATGATTAGGAATAATTAAAATTTACTCCTTTTGAATCTAACACAACTAACGAACAAATGCATTAGTTTTATCATAGAAATCAGGGCTACCTTCATAAAGAGAAAGCATAATCACATCTAGTGAAAGAATTTAATGCCCCGTTTGTAAAGAGGTCTAACTTACGATTAAGATGCATGTGAGTTGACAAGTGTGTGAGATGTTCTGTGGGCAGATGTAAAACTTACATTTTCAAGGTCGGATGCAGACTCGAATTTAAGCGGGAGGTGGTAATGAATTGCAGTGAGAGTAAGCCAAGCATTGTCACAGTTTATAGGGTCCGTAACAGGTCCGATTTCCACCTAAAATGCATATAAGTGCCCCTTGTCTACTGACCAATCGTCAAAAGACAATCATTGGATGAATTTTTAAATCAACTACTACACTTTTTCATTTATGTAGTACCCATTAATCGTTTTTTGTGAGAGTCTCCTAACATTGAACAACTTTTTATTGCCTACTTTGTAGAAGCTGAGGGGTTCCTCTTTAGAGAAAGTTACAAGATATTGCTTGTTATGTTCTCTATTGTCCATTTTTGTCATTCTTAAAATTTTGCAGATAACGAAATCGATTCAAGTTTAAAGGATTAGAGTCAAAGATACACAATTGTTGTTTGGTGGATTTCCATCTTCAACTCCATGAGTTGTTGTAATGTCTGTCGCTCGGCATGTGTCATGGTGAAAGATGATGCCTTAGCGATTGACCAAATTTAAACAATTTGCTTGGATTTCCTTAATGACTTAGGCGAGCATCTCACAGTGCTTCTCCGTAGGCTATGTTTGGCTACGTGAAAAAAGCTCGTGCACAAGCATTCTTCCGAAAATCTCCCCACCATACACACAGCATCACTTTTATTGGATGCAATTTAGTCTAGGGAAGCATTGCTTTTTCACGAGCGAGAAGAGCTGTGGCAGTGAAAACACGACTCAGTTTGTTTGGTTCTGTTAAATCACACAATCTACTTTAAATAAACCTTATACAGTTGCCTAGAATCCCAACGCAGAATCAAATAATGAAATGGAACATCAGCTCAAACAAGTGTGCATGCTTCGGCCACCTCGCAAAAAGCTTTTGCAATCATGTAATACTGGAGTTTACGCGCCGAATCACCTCCAACTAAAGTAAAGGAAGTCATGCTTTGCATAGCTTATTTATTTTCAAACTGACTGGAAAGTGATCTGTCATCACGTCGATTTTTATTTTAAAAATTGTAACATTTATGCCTGTAAGAGACGGAATCTGCAAATTGCTTTCTTTTACATAAAATTGACCATCTAGTTTTTTTAAAGCCATTGTTATGGAGAGTTTCATGAGGAAAATATTTTTGCGTTTTTGAAAACACCACCATCATGCGCCATAAGTACTGAAATATTATGATGCCATTTTGACCACGTAACTCACGTTTTTTACAAAGAACTTCATTAAATTCTCAATTGCTGCTTGCTTTGCTTTGTCACCGTCATTGCTAGGTAGCCTCCGACAGAATTCTTTTACCATCCACTTAAAGCAGGTAGTTTGACTGCAACCTGGAGGATGAAGACAAAGGAACTGCAACAGACCAATAACACATTTTAGGCATACGTTTAAGTAGGATGTGTTGGGATTAGGTGCTGTACTGTCCTTACCCAAGGAAGCTGCGCCTGAGGAAGAATGCCTTTTAAAATAAGCACCTCATCGACATCGGCTCCTCTTGTTATCACTATCACACACGCAGGATTAGCTCCGAATTCAGGTAACAGTCCTTTTCCACTTGTACCAACACGACCTTCAGGGTTTTTCGGTCTGCTGTCAGCCATGTAGGAAGCTGAGGAATCAACTGAGGTGAATCGCGGCGGCTCAGGGAGTAGTGTTAACGGCGGCGTAGTGCTTTGCCACTTCGGTCTTAACTGCCTTCGGGGATTCCACGCAATCGCGTGATATTTTGGAAAAGGTACCTTTGCATTTATGATAATTAAAACTTTCGTTACGTAGGAAAAATTGCGTTTATTTACATAGGGTTTTTAGATAAAGCATGGAGTTGTCTAAGTCACCAGAAAACGGTGCTCTTAACACGGGGACTCCGATTAAATACATAAGTGCCTTTTTCCCCTATTGAACTTACGCTCCAGAGCACAGGGGGATCCAAAGAATGAGGAGTTATTTCGCTTGCCATCGTGGCGTAGAAGGCCATCTGGTGGCTTTGCCAATGAAAAACAATCGGTAGGTCCAGGTCTTCATCTACACCGATCGAAGACCGGCTACTTCCTCCACCCAATGGAGAAAAGGGAACTAAAATATGGGTTCGAAATTAAACAAATTTAAAGAAATGCGGATTAGTCAAAAGTAAAATTATTAAGAAATCCATGGTTAAATACGCAACAATTTTTTTCCAATGTCCAAATTAAAAAGCTGAACGTATTACACGGAATTCTATGATGGGGGTTGGTTTAAGAAAATATTGCCAGTCAGATTATTGAGCACAAAAGTTTCATTTTTAACCTTATCATGTTATTGTTCATTACTAAACGAGACTCTTCTAGTGCCAGGAGTAGATGACCGCAAACCACAAACACCTCATCAACATAAACTTGGGTGCCATTTTGTCCACGGATCTGGTTTCAACTTGAAATGTCTATCAATCTGTTCCGAGTTGGCTGCCCACTCCTGCTTAGGTCAATTTATGTATCCTCAGATCAAGCGTCGGGCATATGCGACCTGCAAAAATGGCATACTCAGAGGATGCAATTTTGAGGAGAATAGTCCAATTAAAACTATGTATTTCCTAGCAAAAATTTCCGTTAAAAAAGGTATTATGGGCTTTGTTTTGGTTCCTTGAACTCAGACGTCTTTGGAATGTAGTGTTTATATTAATTTTAGGGTTTTTGTGAATAAATTAGGTGCGGAGGATGCTACATCAATGACTGCATTCGTACTGCAGTAATTACAGCGGGTTTTAGATGTTCGGGCTGAGCGAAATGAAGTTTTAAAAGAGAACCACTAAGATTATTGACGTTTGTAAGTTCACCTAATCATCCATGGTCTTAAATATACACCACAAAACGGTAGGAGGTTACATAGGAACAAATCACCTTAGTGATATCCCTTTTTGAACCAGGGTTCCACCTCTAAGACAGGTTGGGTTGGAAATCCATAATCGAATAAAATAATATGGAGTTATGCTAGCCAAATGATGGCTTTAAATGTATGCTTACTTCCAAGAAAAGCTTGTGTGGAGGATTTGGGCTCCGGAGGTCTGTCATTCATCTAGTAATAGATATGTTGGATGTTGTGATCCGAAAGAACACGCATTACAACGTTGACACTTAACCTACCAATCTCTGTAGTTTCTCCAGCTTCTCATCGATGTTTAAAATCTTTTGTTCAAGAGCATCCATTGCGTTTCCCGACTTGGCAAAATTGTGCAAAGCCACCGCCGGAGGCACGATGGTGCGAACAGACTGCCACCGTTTCTCCGCCTGGCTTCTCCATGGCCCGGCCTGCTTCCGACTCTCTGTAGCCCACTGCCCTCCCTCCAGCCTCCTCTTCATCTCTTCTTCTTCATTTTGCAGATGCATCGCAGCAAGTGCACACCGCTTTTCAAAGTTGATCAGTTGAATTTCTCGGCCAGGAATGTTAGTAAAGGATTTGCCTACAACCGGATTATCAAGAACTTTTAGCGTTTGCTTAAATCGTTGAGACATATAGAGGCACGCTGAAAAAACGCTGGTGTATTTTGATGACGTTTGGCTTGCAGTATTAAAAAATATGCACGATACTTGAACCGCTTAAATTGTAAGATGTTCGCAAGTCATAAAAGCCATATTTACATGCTTCACCCTGCTCATTTAAACAAGACGAATATAATGTATTTGCAGTAAATAAAAGGCCATCTTCGAAGACACTGCACATTAGTCATAGTGACTGTGATCTCCCTAAGCTGATCAGTGTGTGGATCAAAAAACCAAAGTTTCTCTCACTAACTCAGTAATCTGGTATGTTTGACCGTCAGGTAGATTAAGGTCAACGGAAGCCTTCGATGCACTTTTAAATGTTAAACTGTTGTATGTGTCAGCTTAATAGTTGACAATAGTTTTTTTTAAATTACTTAGATAAAAAGGATAATAATTAAAGTCATTGGTTCCTGCATAATTCATCTAATTTCGAAATAAAATAAAACTCAGGCCTTACAAAAAGGTTTTTGATTTGTTGTGTCCCACTTTCCTATTGGTTGGCAGATAAACCGAATAAGATAGTAGATATGAGAAAAAATGAGGAAGGGACCCGGCTGTACGGATTCAGAGAGGATGTAAACCATTAATTTGTACCTCTCCATGGTCCACAGTTGTTGAGAAACCTCTTCCATTTTGTCGTAAGTTTTTCTAAAATAGTTTGATTCAACGTAACCACTCGATTCTACAGCTAATTTGCGCAAATAATAAATCTTTGTTTTAAATGAAAATTCTGCCACATGACAAAACAACTTTCAGGGCATCACAGTTGGTAAATACCTTGGTTGGTAACATCAAGGAATTCGTCTTTCTGCTTACTAAAGATGAGTCATGCTACATTTCTTTAAGTATATTTGCTGAAACACAAAAAGTAGCATAATTAAAACAATTTTAACTTCACCACTTCAAATGCAAAATATTGTTTGACACTCCGTAAGCTGAAGTAGGAGTAATGGCAAGCAAAGGGGCAAAATATCAGTTATCACCGATACAATTGTGTTGTGAATCGCTTTGATTCACATTCGTTGATCCGATCACTCCAGCCTCCGACACAGGATCTGCCTTTTCGCAGCATGTCGCCAGCCACGCGGATCCTCAATTTCCCCTTCATTCGCACGAATATTTATCTTGGAGTATCCCCACACCTAGGTCTCGATGTTAGCGCATGTATAAATCACACATCCGAGGTATAAATATACACGTGCAAGCCCCACACACGACACAACGCCACCAACAAGGTTGAGTTCTGAAGTAAACAGTTGTGTCCACGTCCTCTCCGATCTTTTTTTTCATTGAGGATATCTGGGGTAGCGTAACCGAGCCAGAGTTAATCCAGTGGCCCCGGCGTGGTACAAGACCACAAGCTGGGGCCCACAACAATTGTTACAATGACAAATTATGCAACAACAAAATGTATTTGTGAAAACCGTTTTTCTCGTTTGTCGTAAAAATGAAGTATGTATGATCGACTTCTGCCCAATGTCCAAATTATTAAGAACACAAACCTGTTGTCGAAATATTTCTGATTAGGAAATCCCAAGGTAAACCAACGTAATGATTGCCGAAGGGCTTGGAGCACGGTATTCCCTTAGTACTTGCATGTGGACTTCGTGCGATTCGAGAACTCCAACCAATGTTCTAGTCATTAAGAAACGCGACATCCCCACGTGCTTTTTTGATTTTTACCAAACTCTAATAGATATAATAGAGTTTGTTTTGCTAAAACTTAGTTCCTTATGTTTTTAATAGTCTTTCGTCCGCTCTCTGTCCTCCTGGTGATTGACAACCTTAAATATTCCTGAGAAAGAGGTGCTGGAAAGCTGTTTTCGGTTACTTGCGCCGATTTCCAACCATTTCTCGTAAATCCACCAATTTGGGTGGTGAAAATCGCTTTGGTTTTGTACTCAATAGGTCTTTTGTGTACCCAATTTGGTCAAATAATTGAAAATTAGTTAGCCGTGTAGAAGGTAAAAATTATTTATAATTACCAGGAGGGTTAAAACATCTAACTGGATAATAATTGATCAGGAATTTGTCAACTGTGACTCTCATCAAAGAAAAACCAAACCATCGTAAAAATATGATGAATCTATACACGACATTCTGAAATATGAGTTCATTTGTACTGAACTTACGTGAAGATGGCTATCAGTAAGTTGATCAGTAAAACATGGGTGGTTAATGTGAAAAATGACATCAGAAATGGTATTATGTGTTTGGCGTAAGGATAAGTGCAGCTGGGCGTCGTAGAGTTCTGGCAAGTCTTCTCCACTAGAAAAAGATTGAAGTACTGCAATTAGAGGTTGTCAGGTTTTACAGGGCAAGGATTGCAAGATTCCACCCATGATCATTCAGTGCACAATAAGTTGAATGTACTCCGTATAAAATTCATTGTGGTTTGCTTTTGCAAAATACACAATTCGGAACATATTTTGTGCCAAGGTAACAATGCCATCAGGAATCATTTTAGAGTTCTGCCTTTTTTTTTCAAATTCCTGAGTAAGTGTGAAATTGCAGCCACCTTTACTTCGGGAAAATGGCTTTTAGATCAGTTTGAACAGATTTCGCATTTACAGTAATCATCACCATGAGTCAGAGGCCGGAAATGAAGCTTACCATATACTTCTATTAGATCTTCGTGATTAAATTCACCAAACATTTGAAAAAACGAGTTTCTAAACACTCGAAGGGAATCAAGCAGGCCGATCCCCGGAGAGTCAATGGTAGTGGGACGCAGGATGATGGCTGAGAAGATGATGGAATACATTATCCAGAACATGCAGACAATCACATAGAACGGAAGCAGATCGTGTGTCACCTAGAATGAAATGATTAAAAGTGAGGTCATTCTTCAGACGTTACGGAATTGTCACTACCTTTAGACGGACGTTAAACCAAATGGTTTAAACAAACAAACAAACGTAATGAGGAGTTTTATGGCTTTTTCGTACCTAAAACTCTACTCAACAGTGATTCGGCAACTGTAGCTTAAATTTTAAACAATTAGGAGATTTTTACATCAATCGGGAAACGACTGCCTCACCATCTCTTTGATCATTTTCAACTTGGGTCCAATGTAGTGATGAACCGAAAGAAGCCTCAAAATCTTGACGAATGGAAAAAAGGCCGCAACCGCTAAGCAGACCTGACTGAATTGTTCCACGATGAATGTTTTTTCAATGACGGTGACGTATAAAATTTGAATTAAGGTTCCCAATATGTAGGCTGTGAATGTTATTAATATGAATCTGTGAAATTTTTCAGCCATGAAAATTTGAAATGAAATCCAATTCATGATTGCCTAGAAAGGAAAGAAGGGAAAAGAGATTCAAGATAACATCAAGAGAGAAAATGAATGCCAATTGGTACGTTATTTTAACTGTAACGAGATTTCCGTGTGTCTTTTGAGCCAAAATCCCATCTCACTGAATAATATGTTTGAAATACGCGTGATGTGAATGTGTCTTTTTTATTTTTTCCAGTTTACGTGGCAAAAACAATCATTCTTGCAGGAAATGTATTCTTGGCTTATAAAGAAACAGACCAAAAATCTCTAGGCATCATGCATTTTAAAGTCTTCAGCATCTAATGAGCAAACCCACTAGTAGTAACTTGGACAGAAGTCGGTGAAGGTAATCAACCCTATTTTAACAAGAAAACATTCTGCGCGCTTTCTTGTAAAGTTACACTGAGAAGGGAATGCATTCTTTTAGTTCTTTTAAATCAGCGAAGCTTGTATGATTGTTCAAGTAAACTTTGTCTATTTTGCAACAGCAAAGAGTGTATTCGAGTAGATTGATTTGAATGAGGACGTGACAGGTGCTCTGCTCTCCGTAAACATGAAAAAACTTGTACCAACTTTTGTCTACGCATTAATACCTAGTAGCCACAAGTTCATTGGTTGGCTTAATTCACAGAAATCTCTTCGCAGACCGGGATATGGTATTTGCTTATGACGAGTAAAAAGACAACTGACTTAGGAGTTATGAGGTGACTAAAGTAAAAGGAGAATTCGCTTACAATTCTTATGAATTCGATGAAATGTGCCACCGCCATGACAATCATAAATATCACAGTGCCTACTATTGTAGCATTGTCGAGATCAGATTCAATCCGCAGATTGCACACGAATAGTATAAACAGCACTATAAAGGCCACCTAGCAGCAAAAAAATGCATAATCTTCATTAGAATATGAGACAGTCACAGTCAAAATAAAGTAATTTACTCATCACCTTTAACAGCGCCACTAATCAGACAGTTTTCGTAATCTTTTCCATCTTCAATGCAGAAATTTGTTTTGAGCTGGCATAATGTAAGTGTTTTGATATATTCCTTGTACATACCAAGTTGACGCCTAAACATTCTTGCTTGATCTAATCGGTGCTATTTGTTTAGCATTCAAGTTAACGACACAGACTGCCTTTCGGCGTCGCAGAGACCAAAGGCAAGATTCAAATGTCATCCCTGGCCCGTAGATCACTTAAAAACACGAGGAGGGATTAGAGCCTATGAATCGTAACTACCTACTCAAACCATATCAGTCAAGTTCGAGTCGAGAGGAAGGCAGTCACCAGTTCTAATGCAACAGAACCAAAACGACACAAAAAGTACTCATTTTTCAACTTTAGAAAAACCTCAAACATTAATTGGGCTGTCTTACAAGTTGGTAGGCATGTCGTACGCAAGGCGCCATATAAAAGTCCATTAATTTCTTCTTGTACATGCGGAACTTAAACTTCCATGTTTTCTGAAATGGTCAAAAAAGTGCCTTTAAGGGTAAATAAGAAAGTGGACAGCATTTAAAAGTCGACAGTCGTATTGAGACTGGGGGGTCGCCAGATTGCTCCAACTGAATGCAAGCACCTCCGTCGAGACATCGGAAGGGTTCTCGCAGAGTTGGCTCCAATTTTTACTGAATTCTTTTACAAACAGACCGATTTAAAGAAAATTTTGGGCCCAAAAATGTGGATGACGAGTTCATCATGGACCAGAAGTCGAGTTGAAAGTGTGCGGTGTCGACGAGGTGTGACCGTTTTGATCTGATTATACTAACCTTGATTTGTCTTCAACAGGCACCACAGTGTTCAGTTTTGTTGAACAAAAAACTCGGGAACAAATGTCAAACAAAAGAATAACTCGAATTTATTAAAGCATACAGGTTAAGCATGGCTATTTCTTATGGTAAAATAGCTAGATGTACAAAATGATACATTTTAGCAAAGATGCGATTCGAAGGAGGCACATAGAAGGAAAATTTTAAGTAATTAATCTGCAGAAATTCCATGGCATGTCATATCAGAGGTCCAAAACTTAAAATTCGCCGAGAACTTAAAAACCGGTTATCGGAAGATGCATGAAGAAACTTGGGATCGGTCAATATCCGACCTCGAACATGCCGTATTTATAAAAATTTTGATAAAATTAAAGTTGATCTCCCTTTATTGCAGTGTGATAGGTAAAAATCTGGCTTCATTCAAAAGTCGCTACGCTCGAAAGCAACTAAGAGGAGTTGTAAAACTGGGTTGCATAACAATCGATTGGGGGGTCAAAATGTGTGGACTGAACTAGCGCTCTTCACAGTGCAGCTTGCGTAAGAAGTTCGCAGTAAACCATCAACCAAAATCCATTATTCTCATACCAAATTTGGTGTTTTACATTTCAGATGCCTCACAAGATTGTGAACTGAATTAAGTAAGTGAATTACTTTTTTTGATGGAGGAGAAGAAGACGCTGCATACATCGATTCATCGTAGGTGGCCACAAACGGAATCATCGGGGGACACAACGCACCGACCAATAGGCTGAAGGCAAACTGAAAAGTAACCAATTCGGTAAATGGGTGGAGAATTGTAGCGCGCAATTGACACAGACTGGGCACCAAAACAGATGACGCTTTGTTTGACTGTCTTAGAAAGCTCGTCGAAAAAAAACGTCGTTTAATCACGAATTCAGCTTGTATAAAGACCAGTTACCTAATTTCTGTGTACCGTCTTCTCATAATACAATGATAAATGCAAATCGGATTGATAATAATGGATTAAAAGCATTGTCTACTCAAAGGAGTTCAGTGGAGTGCTATTTACTCTTCCCCAGCTCTTGGTGATGACAAGCGTGTGAGCCCACACGCGATCCATGTATTCCTGGCAGGCCCGATGCTGAATAAAATCTCCACAGTTCCCGTCCGAGGCAATCATTAGACACGATAGCCTGCCGAAACTCCGTCTTTCCATCACCAGCAGCTGCATAGTGCTTTCCTTACTGTCGAAGTAACAGGACTCGAGAATTGAAACAGCTATTCTCTCGAATTCCCTAAAATGACGTAAACAAGGTTAAATCTTAACTAGAACAGTTAATGTCAGGCCAATGTAGCTATTAATTTTCATAAAGCTAAAATCAAGAAACCCAAAAACCAGCTTCTTTTGCAAGTCCTTAACTTGGATGTTTTCTAAATTGGCATAATCAATCTACGATAATAAGAGCAACAAATAATACATAGTTATACTGACAAGGCATGTCGATTGTGTTCTAGACCATCTGATGGCGACTTCGTCATTTGGGCTTTTCGACGCAAAAATGCCGCCGCAAACAGCGCTCCCGTTGACATGTCCGTCAACAATGTGAGGATGAATTGTGCTACCTCGTAGCGCATCGTGATCAGAGCCCATAGATAGAGGTACTGGATGAAATTGCCAGCTTGACTGTGACTGTAGATTCGGTCGCCGGCATCTTCAATATTTTCTGAAGAAAAAACGATGCAACTGCGATAAATACTGGCTGATTGTCATTCGACTTGTGCAAACACACCTACAATGGCTGACCGCTGCACCTTAAGACACTTCTCAGAAGAAAGTAATATTGATACAGACGATTGTTAGGTTAAAGCTAGGCGACTAACAAAGCAGCCTGTGGAATTGATAAGTCCAGTGATTGATGACCGTTTTAGTGTGGTGGCATTAATCCGTCCTGCTTTCTATCTGAACATTTTTCAATTCCCAACCAAGAAAATCTGTCCTACCGGGTCAAAAGAATAAGCAAAACCTGCAATCTGGTCAAACGCGCAGAAACCTCGGATTGCATTTCAGGTGAACGGAGATCTCTGTGCCATCTCTAGTTGGTTCAGCACTTGACAGCACTTTCTCCGTGTCGCATATTTCCAATACTAGCTTTTCACTGACTCCGTCACAGTTCCATCATTGCTGTGCAGTGAATCTGTTAATTCACATGCCTCAGCTCGTAGCTATGTGTGTGACCATTTGACAATTCACCCGTCGCAAAAATTCACGTGTCTCCCTTCCTCACTCAACTCCCGATCTACGCGCCCCCAATAGTTTGTGCGGACACGTTTGAACTTGCGACCGTGTGCGCCCACGTCCCCCCCTGTGAAGGTCTGTGACCTGGCGCGAACACAACCACACAACGGTTGTCTAATCTCCCTAATCACGTGACTGAGGTTCTAGAAGTAGTGGTCAAGGTGCGAGTTGGGGACCTATACCGGGACACAATGGTGGAACTGACGTTGGAACACATTCAGTTAGATGAACTGGCTCTTAACCATTATTGGAGGAAATCGTTGTCCTCATTAAACTTGCTACTTTTACCAAAATTGTCTTCACCTCAATTTGACTCTTTTTTGTTAAAAAAGATTTACGATCTCTTTTGACAGTAAGGATCCAAAAAAATACTGCCAATTTCATGCCACCGAGATTGGTGAAGCCGTACTAAACCAATGGCTGAATGAGGTCGCCCCTCATAAATTTCGTTCAAAGCACCACAATTTCAGGTTTTGGGGCAACCGAGCAGCGAGAGGTGCGGTGGCTTGAGACCATTGAATTTGAGTTGTTGGTATCCAAACTGTACCCCGAAAAAAACACCATCAATGAAAGCATAAGCTTTGACCGAATTTGAGTTCTTTTTGTCAACCATTTACTTTCAATAAATACTCGGTTAGCAAAGTGTCCACAAGGATGATTTGATGTCCCACATGAACTAAGCAAACTCGACCCCAACTGGTAGAGGGATGTAAATGGATAGACGTATCATCTCACCCATGTTGATTGTAGCATTCTTCCTGGCGTTTCTCCGTTTGATTCTCGGTTGCTTCGGATTCTCTTTGTTGTACGTCAAAAAATGATGGCCCATGATTTTCTGAAGGGTTTTCTTCACCCTCTCAATCGTAATATGACTGCCTATCTGTGAACAATACGAGTAGAGCTTAAGTTAAGTCAAATTATCCACGATCTTTGGACACCACTGGCGTATGTCGCCAGGAGGTGTACTGAACAAAATATTCACCCAGTTTTTTTAAACAGTAGTGGCAGTGGTGGTAGAATCAATCCAGCGTCTGCTTATGCACCAAATCTGCATCTGCAGTGTGAATCAGTACTGATGGTAGGTTAGAAGTCGAACATTCTTACCTTCGATTGGTACTGAATCAAAAATTCTCTCATGCTGCTTCCTTCAATGGTCTGCAATGGAAAAAGCCAACATTTCTAAAGATCGTAGTGGATGTTTTAAAATTAAATATCACCATTCATTTGCCTGTTTAAATGGCTAACAAAGTAAGTCCGTGGTTGGCCAAAATTCTGTGTCGCCTGCATGATTTTGTAAGTGTTTTGCAATTACTAATGAACCAAAACATGAAGTAAACTAAATTGGCACTTTGAGGCATACAAATAACTTCACATTAATTTCACCATGTACCAGTTTACCGCAATGTAGTTAACATGGCGTGGAGCCACACCGTGACTGAACAAGGCTAACCCAAAGTTTTCAGCAGGCAGTCATGATAAGTAGACCGAAACGAATACATCTGGATTTGTAACCTGAGAATCCACAAGCTTATTTGTCAACTAATGTGTGAAATATTTAAGGTGACTGATCAGATGAAGTGGCAGATAACCAATATTTTCGACTGTTGGGTTTGGTTCGCAATAGAGAAGGTAAGGGAAAATTGCGTGACTATTTGAGGCAAGGTAAGTCTTTACTTTGACGTACCATGAAATGTAAGATGTGAGTGCGATGGTGACAAACTGTTTAACATTTGAATTAATGGCCAGAACGAGGAGCAAGGACTTGTGTATAAAGACAACATTTGAGATACTTTTGTGTGAGGCCTCTATTCTCAATTGGGTTTAGGATCACAGCACCACATTAAATCACTTAAACTTGAGAGTCAGGAATGTTTAATCGGACTATTCGACATGCTTAGGAGAATCACAGGTACACCCTATCAAGATATTGGAACTTTATCATCTATTGACTTGACCATGAACTTAACGTTGTCACGATTTTTCTGATAATACATCTAATACAGACGAAAGCCCGGATATTAGACAAATATTTCGTTTTGAATTAATTGATCTTTTTTATGGATGCATGTAATTTTAATTCGAAAACCATGTCATCATTTGAGTTCTAGTAGTCAATAAGCGTAAGCTGCGTTCATGCCTTTGAAGGAAATATGGTTAATTATGCTGAAGATACTCGTTTTCATAGTTTGTGTTTAAATATTCCATAAACTGGCATCTGAAGCCAAAATTGTGCTTCCCTAATTTAAAACTTACAGTAGAAATTACTTAATCGCCAATCCATTGTAAGCTATCTTAGCCTAAACTGTCAGTTTTTTTAAAATCTCAAGAGCGACTGATGGACAATCTGAGAAAGTTCTGCAGAAAGATATTTTAAAGAAACGTTTTAATGACTGAAATTTTTTCCTTGATTAGGCACTCTTAAGCAATGCTCTCAGTGACATTAAGCTAAACAATGCACTGGACAGTCTGTTTGATGCTGACATAGTTTGGATGGAGTACCAAAATCCGGGTACTACAATTGCTCCGATCTTTTGCCGGATATAAGTGATCATTGCCATGCCAGAAACTCAGTCTCTAAGTGTGTTTCAGCAGGCGCGAACGCCGTATCACACGCGCTTCCTTCACTGCCCATTCAGTCTTGTGATAGCTTACGTTTTGCTGAGCATCGGTGGTGTACAACTCCTCAACGGTCGCAGCATCGGCGAATCCGTGGATGTCGAAGCCAGCATCAACAAACATTTGCAGAAAATGCACTTTGTTGGTCAACAGGCAACTCCTAACAAATGGCGTCACTTCTTCTGTCTGTTAAAGGAAAAAAAACGAATTTAGCTGTTTGCATTGTGGTTGCATTAGTTTCCTGACAGAATAGGGTAATTTAGAAACCATTATTTAATAGATTTCATATTGCACAGGATAGTGACCACCGCCTGATGCGCACGATCGTTTGTATTAGAAAACGGAATGCTGTGAATTTCAACTAATTATTAAAAAAACATTGTCGGCACTCAATATCGTCACCAAATTCGTCTCTTTAAAATGTTGGAGCCCAGCTCAGTTAGAAAACCACACCAGAGCCGGAAATCTACGTTGACACGGCTCGACCGAAAGAAGAGTGGAAAGTGCAGATGGAGCGTAGCTCAATTTATTTATTGATGCAGTAGCGGTGGTGGTGTGTACAACGCAAAAGGTCAGTTTATATAGGATCGGCTAAATGCCGATCCCTGAACGAACGCAGTTACGTGAAGTGCATTCATGTAAACCAATTGAATAATGTTCTCACACGCTTGCTAACTGGCCTCGCTTGCTGCTCGCCACAAAACGTTTTAAGTCATTTGGATTCATGTTGTTGTGATGACGACTAAACAGATTCGTTTATTGTCACCGCACCGGAAACCAGTTTTGGTCAGATTATAAACGGAAAGGGGTGGGGAAGTAAAGATTATAGTAATTTTAAAAAATACATTTTTTTGCATTAAATTAACACTGGGTACAAGCTGATAAAGTCTGTGAAATTACTATTCAGGAATTTATAATCCTAACATGCGTCCTCGTTAGTCATGAAGGACCGTTTGCTCATTCAGCACCCTTATCCCTCTGACCTTTCAGACGTTTGTACTTTTACTAGTTCACCCAGACTATCAGTCAACAAGATCGCATGGAGTAATGAGCTACCTTTAACAGACACGCACGCACACACGGCACGACACAACTTGGTTTTCTTTGGGTGCTTTGTGTTGTGTCGTACCGTAAAAGAGGCATCCAAGCCTTTTTATTCCAATAAACCCCGGTAGCTTACGCTGGTGGTAAAAACGAACTCGCTGATGAAATTGGGAATGTGTCGATGGTAGGCTATGGTGTCTTCCAAATGAATAATTTATAACCCACAGACTACACCACACTTCAACTTCTCTTGGTTGACAGCCAAAGAAGCCGAGGACAGCGAATGTAGATAGGTATGCAATGTCTGTGTTTCCGTGTTTGAAAGTATGTTTACAGAGAACTAGAGAACGGAAGATAACGATGAGCAACAGTTACTAGTCCACCTGAGGTTAACCTGTCCAGACGTGCTTCCTCCCATTCGCGTCGTCTTACGGTCCACCATAAATCAATAATTAAATTTCTGGGTGTCGGACAACACAAGCAGGCGATCTTAGATTCTGCGGCGTGACAGTCGATCGCTGATTGGGCTCAATTGTGTGGTGCTATATCCTCCACCCAAGTCACACCTTTTCAATCACAAACATTTCATTAAACCCCCCCCCCTCTTGAGCACGTCCGCACGAACCAACGCCCCTCAACTTTCAGGTAAACGGTGGAATCCCGTATCTCTCTTGGTTACCAGGGTAACGAATCAGTGTTTTTCGCGCGCGTCATACTTTCGATTTATTTCAATTATTTTGTTAAAGGGAGCCAATGCGTAACATTTTGTCTGCGTAGAATACGACCTTTGCTGTTAGTGAACAGACACATAAACTTGGAAGTCAACTTCAAGTGTGAGTCGCATCTAGTTTAGTAAATCATATTTTTGATGAAAAAGTCCTCAACACCTGTTTGGTGTGTTGTCATTGGCGCAATTGGTAATGGGCTGTGCTTATTACTAAAATGCCTCACCCAGTAAGTATTCACTTAATAAACCATTCCAGTAGGAGGCTTAAAATCACACTCAATACGATCGCATAAAGCAACATTGCGGTAGAAAAAGGCGGTGTATCGTGACTTTTGGGGAAGTGACGCCTTACCGTCCATTTTACATCTGCTAAAATTTTCTCCAACACAAAATCCGTCCGATTGAGCTCCATCGCTATTTTCAGTCTAGGCTTCCACGAATATTCCTTCTTCTCGTTGTCGAACAGAGCTAGAGAAATAATTAGTAGATTGGTAATTCGCTGGAACCGGACACTTAAGTTAATTTTTTCAGCAGGTATTTTAAACAATGAAGATAAAACAAGGTGACAAACCACATGGGGAGGAAGTGAATGTGTTTCACTTTTGCGATCCATGGTGCACATATAGGTGAATTTCAGTAGACATGGCACACAGTTGGAACACTTCGAAAAAGTCAATTAATATCGGGAATTCCGACTTCTAGGTGTTAATGAGGTGTCATATCTTTACAACAATAAAGCAAATTTATCATGATGCACTCTGTCTTATTTTACTTATTCCTTATCTGCTATGATACCCTATCGTGTTCTCGACACCAGTTAGTTTTTCCGACATAATTTGAACTATACTTGCTATCATCTTTACGTCGAGTGCTCTTGAAACTTTAGTAAATGCTCTATCAGCTGCCTTCTTATTCATTTGCTTGACTGGGAAAAGATTCCGCCTGTTTTGGTTAATTGATCCCCCAGATGAAAATTAAGTATTAAGCATTGAAATGAGGTGAAAGACTGATTGTTGCAAATATGCGGTCGTAGTGTGCATTAGGCATCCCACGTAAGAAATATATTTGTGTTCAGCCTTGACTGCAAGACTGTGCGCGTACCAATATGAAAATGATCCGATTAAAGGTAACACTTACTGTGTGGTTACTGCTATTGATGCAGTTTTTTCATACGACTAACCTGTGTTAATGAGAGAGGAGACAATTTTGCCGTCCAGTGTCTCATTCGGGTCTTTTTCGGAGAAGATTTCAATCAACTGCGAGCGGTACAAGATGCCCATCACCCTCGCAATCGTGTCTTGGTTGATTTCGCTTTCCGTCCAATGCTGAAGCATTATTTCGACTACCCTGTGGGGGTGAGATCATGCTTAGAGTATGCAAACTAAATCGATTGAAGTTTCCATCTTTGATCACACTATTTTTCAAGACTTCTGGCAGCGACTTCATCTTATCGATTTTGTGAGGTCTGTTCTACTTATTCTTTATTGAGCACCATCATAAACGAAGGTAAAGATTCATAGGCTATGATATACTATCAAGGCTCCTGCACCATGAATAATGTGATCTCGTGGGGTCGATCTTCCGAATGGTCTCTGAAGATCAGACTCGTCAATACGCTCATTGACAATGCCTAACATATCGGTTTCCGGCATCTTAATCTCCACAGGCTCGTGCAGGACCATGTACGCTACTCAAGATTATGCAAAGAAATGCCAACTTTAGATACCTCTCAGTTGTTTCATCTGCCTCAGTGTTAACCTCCCAAAATTCCTGGTTTGAGTAGGGGGATCCATTGTCTAGAAGGTACTCCTTTTCCGCTATGCACTGTTCAAGAATGGAGGCAAGGCCTCCACTATCCTGTGAAATGAAAGAAAATTTTAGTTAACCACTATCACTGACAAGACTAAATGCCAAAGTGCAAAAATGAGCATCAATGTACGGCTAGGAAAAAAAGCTTTCGTGATTTAAATCTAGACAGAAAATTCTTCTAACCTCTAATATAGAAGTTGGTAGAGCTTAAGTCGAATAATTGGGTGTTTTAACTCTATTTTAACGAATTTGGGAGTTTGGCAGACGACTGTTCGCCAGTACATAATCGCTATGTCGGTGAAGAATATGGGTAACAAGATAAGTACTGATGGATTTTGGATGTCCATTGGTGAGTCCGGTTTTTATTTGTTTTTTAATTGATTTTTTCTGAATTCGGGGAAAATTGTTCAAATAAACGTAGCAAATGAGGGACTAAAGACCTCTACTGAGTGCACAACAATCTCAACTTACACCCACAACGACAAAAGGAATGTTGTGTTCCAGTGCCTGATACACGCCTAGAGCATCCTCTGGCCTCCCCGCAACGAGAAGTCCACATATCGGGGTATTTTCTTAATGGAGAAAATTAGGCTGAACGCGTTAGTTCTTGTGGCCTTATTCCTGCTTCTGGTTAGCCCACTAATTTTATCTCATTAAAGGCCATGGAATCCCCACCTATGGGCTACTTGAGTATGGGCATTGTTTTAGCTGGACTTAGTGGGTAAAATGGTAAACTTTCATCCCGATACGCATTATTGGACCCAGCCAACACTTGCGTTTAGTGGCTTACTTGCAACCATCCCAATTAACGGCCTGTAAAAACCCGAGAACACGCCCATTTATCAGCGTCTATTGACTGATAACATTAACCGATGAAATAAGGAGGAGTCATTGACACAATTAGGTCAGTAAACTGGCCCCATTCTGGCGCGATCGCTAATAGTCCACTACATGTGTACGAAGTCAGATACTCGCATGACTTGTACTCAAAGGACATGCAGGTAAATCTACCTGTTCATTGGCACGAGTTCGCATCGATTCACCTTGGCATGGTGGCAAGAGTGAATCATTATGTTCGTGATTCAAGGCCCATTCTTAAGGCTCTGAAGATTGAAACAGCCATGCAGGTGTGGGTTTTAGTTTTCGTGCTTCTAGCACTATCTCGTCCCTACCACGGTGGCCGCTGACAAGCAAAATCGAAAGTATTATGTAGTTATCACCTTAATTTTCCAACCAAAAACGCTAAATTTGCTTTTAAAGTGAAATTTCCATTAAAATCATGGCATCTACTTTATTTCGACAACTTCTCACCCATTTACACTAAGGACAATAGCACCAAGAACTGTGCTTACGTGATAAATTAAAATTGTCTTGTCTTGTCTTAGAGATCCAAGCCTCGAACCGCGTGCGGAAGCCCTGAATGCAATGCACATCGTTCCTGGCCCCCGAGTCGACAAACAGGTATCGGGTGTGAAAAGGTACTAGCGGTGTGTGCATTTCTGACTTCGTGTCATTGATTGGAAATTTCGCCTGCAGCAAACCCTGTTGGTTTAAAAAGATTAAAAATAATAATAATACCACTGCATTCCCTCTTTATTGATTATTGCGCATATGTACACATTTTCCGAAACTACTTCGACATTCGTTGAGTTGCCGAAATTACTTCTGATTGGTCGTGGACAGTCGTGTCAACCAAAAAATTTCGGAGGCATTTCTCAAACTCGATAAGGCTTTTGCTCAACACGGAATAATAAGAAAGAATGAATAGATGCTCGAAAGGATGAATTTACCGAGAGTTTTTATTGTTAAAGAAATTACTACTATTGAGTGGAAATTTCCATAAAACACCGAAAGATCTCATGTCTTTGTGCACCCAACACCAGAGATGTTGGCTATAAGAGTTTATCGTTTTCTTCCAATCCATGTGGATTGCCTCAATCACTTGCTTGACGGTGGAAAGGAAACAGGAATCCTTGCGTTAAAAATTAACAAAGTTTTGGTCTTGTTGCAATAACTTGTCAACGCGGAGGCTTATCAGCGAGAGCTTGTCTAAGCATGTGTAGTGAATCGTGTTGATTCGCGTTAAAAACACGCCGGTCGTCGCGGCCTCACACACACGTCCCCCTTTTCACGGCGCGCCCGTCAGTCACTGGGACCGCCTGCTCATTATCACCTCTGAGTACCACCACCACCCCCCTTATCCATGTGACCATTCAGACGACTGGGTTTCTACTAGTTCACTCAACTGAACCGGACAACACAACTTGGTTGAGCTGTCTAGTAAACGGTTGTGCCTTCTCCACTTCTGTCTTCTTTATCTTCGCGGGAACACAGGGTAACGTATTCGGCGTAGATTGTCTCAGTGGCCCCGGCGTGGGTCAAGACAACATGCCGGGGCCCTCAACACATGGTTATTTGAAGTGGAGTGCCATCTGTGACTATGCTAATCATTCATTGACCCCCGTACACATCCGTTTTCATTGGCCGTAAAGTGCTCCTGAATTACATCCATGAACTCACCAGAATTCCACTTAGTCGTGTCGTCTTTTCACCATCTTCGCCCGGTCCTTAAACAACGATCACCTAGCTTTACACTCGATTTGTGAGGTTGATGTAATCGGGACAACCAGATTCGGAAACGCCGTGCCATGGAATACGCTCTGAGCCTAGTGGTTAAACATACCAAGTAATCTGTGGAACAAAGATCAGCCTTGCAGGATATTCGTCGCCATGGCACAAGACCGATGACCTGCAGCGTCTTGAGTCCGTAAGCTTCAGCGTACCCACGCATTCCCTGCGACAGAATCTCCGCAACGCTGTCGGAAGAGCCGTCTGTGACTATCCAGGTCACTAAGGCAGAAACCCGTGAATTCACCAAAAAATTCATAATTTTGAGGAAAACGTTGAACTTAACAGGTTTTGGCAACGAAAATGCAAAAGGCGTTAGGATGGTAAGACAGTATAGAAGTAGACAAGGGAATTAGCTATGTCCACCTTGGCTAGACTTCGCATCTGCTTGAACTTAGATGCTGTGCTTTGGCATAAGGCAGTGTCGAATGCTCCAAATGCACTGCTCCATCGAGTTGACGTGATTAGTCGAGTCCAATTTTTCGTTTCCCAAAACTAAGACACATTTACAGTATTGTGAGTTAAAAAATCACATGCTACATGCCAAATGTCACTGTCTGGGACCTTATAGTGTGATTCGTGAACAAATGTGGTGTGGAACTCAATGAGTGGATGTTTACAGAAGCGATACCAGAACCACCGCATTCCAAAATGTTCTCGTGATAAAAATGATAATTAAACTCGGACGCAGACTCACTTGTCTTCTGAAAAACGCCAAATATCAGGTTGTAGAACCGCTTTTGAAATGACTTCACCTGAGGCACAGTGCCGTATAGTGTGACGGCTAGGTCTGGCTCCTTCAGATTCCATATTTCGAAAAACAGCTTCTCAAGACTTTCAGCCTGTGTGTCATCAGCGATCCGTACAAACTACAAAAAAGACTCACATCGACAATCCCTATCATTAATGTAGTGAAAGCCTGGAATCTATATCGACAGCAGGCCTGCACGCAATGTTTAGCAACTATTTTTTCCTAATTTGTGTTAGATTGATATTTACCTTGCAATCGTTTGGTCGACCAATCAGAGGCAATTGATAAACATTTCTGGGATTTATTTTAAAATTTCAAACACCGATATCATGAAATGATTTTGTTACCAAAAGTATAAACTAGATGTCCTGGGACTACTATTAGGACGGACCATATACATATCCGTGAGTTTTATACAATTTAGCCCAAATTCTTTTACATCGTACTTTTATTGTTCGAAATAGTACTTAGTGATGCAAGGCTTTTGTAATATGAGTTGTGTACGTGTTTAGGTTTTCCTTTAGCAAATATTACTGTAGGTGTGTCCAAGCACACTGTCCGATTAACCGATAAGTTGAATGCCAGGGTCATCGGCTATTGGTAATAAATGTGACGAATGGTAGCTGGTTCCTAATTCGAAAATCACACAGTCATATTTTCATTTTCGTTTTCAGAGAAATCGAATGCAGAAACACTTAGCTTTTAACGCTAAACGGTGGATGTGCGTACTAGCACATTCTCTCATCATGGATGATATTACTGAACAGATGTGGTAATATCCTGCTTTATAAAATAGCCTTTTGTGTGTGAGTCCTTTTATTCACTGGAACAAGTTTAGGATTGTAATAGGAAGGCGCCAACATCTATTTTGATTTACCTACCCAAAGTCATCTACCCACCCAATTTAACACTGTACTTTGGAAATTCATTTAAATGACGCATCTAATTCGAACAACTTGCAGACTGTACATGGTGGCAACTCCTTTTGCATTATTTTTTGTACAAACTACGACCACAGCCTGTGCGGAAAACCTACCTCAGCCATTACGCTGGAGCGAGATGTTTCAAATTGTCCAAAGGCGTTAGTTGGTCGCTTGATAAATTTCTTTCCTCGACTTGAAATCAATTCATTAAGAATGGGATTACAACTAAATTCCTCGTGTTCAGACACCTCGTCGCAGCAATCACAGTAAGTTCGGTCATCGTAACTACAGAAAGATCCAAAATAAGAATCGGTAGAAATTTAAAAACTTATGATTTTATGGTGGAAATAAATATATTTAGTTACAGCCATTTCAAAAGTGGGGAAATCGGAGTACTGCCAGTTAGCAGGTCAAGTAACCCTCCCGTTTTTCTGACCAAAAACGGGACTGGCGCGAGTTAAAAGCAGTCAACATTACTAGATTTTTCTTGTAGAAAATGAGATTTTGTTTGATGAAATAAAGCATAACTCTTGAATTTTGAAGGAGTATGGAGCAGCTAAAGCAGGGTAGGTTTTTGATTATAATCTTTCAGAAATTGAACTCCTACCTATTTGCAGCATGTACTTAAATACCAAATTTTTTATCGATTTATTGGCAGCTCCAATTAACTGGCCATCTTATGTATCCAGAACTGTTATATAACTTGGTTTCATTGACAATTCAGCATTGCATTGATATTTGATATAAAAAGCCCTCATTGTACAATTTTTCTCGAAATCGACTTAACATTTTTCTTGCATGAGGCACAGAGTATTCATTAGCCTGTCCTTACTCATTTTAGTCCCTAAAACTACGTTCACACTATTAGTATGGACCAAAACCGAAGTGACATTTAATTCGAACCATGATTTTAAACTACTGAATGCAGTTCAGTTGTTTTGTAAACCCCAACACACTGGTCTGCCTTCTACCACTTTATTCATTCGCAGATGTTACGATTCAAGTTGAAGGCAGCCTTACCTAGCACTAAAACTTAGGTGACCATTCTATTCCCTTTCACTCAACCTAGAACTGCGACGGCTCATTAAGGGACTGGCAAACCAAACTGAAAGTAAACATGATCAAACGCGACCACCTTAGAAACAGCGTTCAAATTTATGTTGTTGGCTCATTTTCCACATTCGTGGTCAAGGACTTGCAGGTACAAACCACGTATTACATGAAGCGAACCACACGAAAGACCTTTTCTTACCTGCGTGTTGGGCTGACCTGGGTGCATAGGTACGCTTCAAAGTGCAGTGCCAACGTACAGTGCAGTCGGTGAGAAATTGCCTCCTGTTAAACAAAAACAGCAGTTTAGCCTTCGCAGAGGACCCAGTACCGCAGCTAGCCTTTGTTTCATCAGCCGATTAGAAAACTTTTCCTGTTTTTTTGTAAAAAAACTCCGATTATATGTGCTTAAACGCGTGGGATTCAGTTTTTAGTTGTGAAGACATTAAACACTTCACAAACTTATTTTAAATGCAACCAATTGCCAAGCTCTTTTAGTCAAGTTATTCCATGAACAAAGCCAGAAAAAATTGACCAATAGAATGGTAGTCAATCGATGTGAGATCAATCTTTATTGAATGATCAAATACATTAGTTCCCTACGCAGCACAATGTAATTCACGGGACTGCATCACGTCTTACCACTTGTGATTTAAAAGCAGTTTTAATTCGAGTAGCTCAAGAGTCAGGACAAAATTAATTGAAATGCACTTTTCAATTTTCGTTTCACAACAGAACATTTTCCTTTCCTGCGTGAAGCTTGTGATGGTTAGAACAGTCAACATTTCAGTAGATTCTAATTTAGTAAATTAACTGTCGGATGGAAATTCTTCTTATTTTTGTTTTCTCCTTGTTTTTTTTGTAACTCCAAACCTACTGCTTAGCACATATTGAGGTTGCCGAAAGAAATTAGCGTATAAGTCAGCACCAGATGCAGTTGTGCCAACACTACATGCTTGATGTTCCACACGTGCTTTCCATTGTGGCTTTTAAAAATGCCCAAGTCCTCACCTGATTCGGGAAGATGTCCGGATCTGTGTCATCATTTTCGGCGATGGATGAATCAGACAGAACAGTTTCCAATTGGTCAAGGTAATTCCGGATATCATTATATCGGTAGTTTTGGCAGAACTCTTCTGGCAGTTTATCCGACTGAGTATGAAAACACAGCAGAATTTGGTGAAGGAATGGGCATAGAATAGATTTAAGATAATTCAGACTGTTGAAATACAAGTTTTGTTCAAAATCATGTATTCTAGAAAAAGTGTGGGTACTTTAAGTTCTACAATTCGTATTGGCGAAGACCGCTCAACTGAAAAGATTGAACTTGAAGTAAAACTAAAAGGGTTCCTGCAAGTATGCTTTTATTGACAAGGGATATGTATTGGGCTACTTTTAGCTTGGTAAATGGTAACGTTTCGTTTCAAATTCTTCAATTTTAGCAGCGAAGCTAACATTGACGAAGCCCGCAAATTCATAGGATTTATGTCTTTAAATGTGTCGATTACGACAAACTTTAGAGTGAAAGATCACACTTAACCTAGCAGTTTCTTCTGACTAACTCTATCAACGGCGATTCGTATTGGCCGAATCTTAACTTACAAAATCCGGTATTCCAATCAGAGAGCTATCCATACTAAGCAACGTTATCACTGTTGGCAAATTCGTTTGGGTTGCATAGTGTAGCGACGTTCTTCCTAACTGAAATTAAGAAAATTAAGTGGATGGGATAGAATAATTAATTTTGGTATATTCCATCCAATTGACGATAAGAAGCGTAAGGTTAAAAAAATTTATTTACTGGGGAAACAGTTGGACACTTTACAAACCACGAAACTACATGTTAAAAATTTGCTATTTAGTGAACACGAGATTTAATCGATGTGACAAACGCTGCCAGCTGTGATATCCAGGAGGTCGTACTACCGGAAAAGAATGATTATTTTGGTTTTTTAAATACTCCTCACTGTACAAAAAGGTGTCATAAATGAAAATGAACAGTGCCTTTTTTGCACATTTTAACGAGGTCACATGGATTTGGTTCCCAGAGTGATCCAGAAAGGAACATCGTAGAACCTTGTGTGTTCATACTAGGAACCTTGTATGAAAAACCTTAGAATTTTTCTGTGACTTGACACTTTTGGCATGGCGGTTGTTATTGCCTACTTCAAACGTTTTTGCCTTTGGTTTTATTTAGAAAGGCATCAAGAACAGCAGTTGATGATGGATAAGTAGGGATCGGACTGGAAATGTCTCAAACTAAACCCTGCTTGTTACAATACGGGCTTTTTGTTAATGCCATCATCACTATCAAGATCGCGGTGAATCTCGTTAATTCATGACCACCGCCACGTGCCCAATGTTTGTTACTTGTTTATGCTGAAAAACTACTTAACTAGGCGTTTTTCTACACATTCTAATGAATTGATCTGATGCACGAAGAGTGGACATATTTAGGTTTCAGGTTTTTAGCACACATTTACCTAAAATGTAAGCAAAGTCTCACTTTATCTTGCATGAGATAAGGAAATCCCGCCATGAGCACCTTACGCAGGCCCGCGTAGTCGCCCATTGCTGCACAAATGTGGACCGCAGTGACACCCTCCTGCATGCAAAAATTGCCGTTTTAATACGGATCCAGATACCGATGCACTTTACACAACATTTTCTGTGTAAATCTAGGATTTCTCTCTGACTAATAACTCCTAAGAATCAGCTGATTGATCTAGGACTTCAAGTTGTTGGGATCAACACTTTTATGAAGTTATGCACCTTGAGTGATTTTTAACCTACTTATGAGCACTTACAAGTTTTGAAGTACACTCTTACCTCTGTCATTGTGACGGGATGCTGGCGTTGCAGGAGCACATCGATTATGGAATGGGCGGAAAAGATGCAAGCCAGGTGCAGCAAGCCAACCCCGTGCAGTACTCCCCAGAAGGACTTTGACATGTATTCGACGGACTGAATGCGCACAGACGTAAAAATCATTAAATCATTGAACAAGGTGATCATGAAGAAATTTAATTTCGGTACTGACGGAATTTTGAGCACACACTGGGTTCAAGGATTTTGATTTTCGACTATACAAGGAGTACATCGATTAAAATAATTATCTTCTCCTAATCGATTTGACTTTTGTGGTGATCTGGTTTATTATTATCAGTCATCATTATAAACAAAGGCCCAAACAAACGCATACACAAGTAAAACGCTTGGAAACAAAGTTAATCATGGCGTAGACATGATTTATTCAAAGGTCGACATTTTACGCAGACTAGTATTCCTATGTAGTGGGTTTATGTAGCTCTGCCAGGCCCTAATTTATAGACTTTTATGTTTGTCAAACTTACGGGAAGTTGCGACATTACCACATTCATCGTTAGTGATTTCATTTTGTCATACGCATAGCTCTCGAATTCCTTGTGGTCATCTCGACGCACTGTGTCTATAAGGCGCATCACGTCACCGTCTATCAGATTGGTGCGGAAGTCAAAGTACGGCAATTCACTCGGGTCAAATGTCTCCATCTCGGCTTCCTCGTTGATGACTTCACCTAAGAGGGGCATCGACATGATGTTGATGCGTCTTTGGCGTTGGCTGCTCCGCCTGTGTAGAGGGTACCCTTTCTGCCTCCATGAACTCCGGGAAGAAAAAGACATAACGCTTTGCGTTGATTTTTCTTCGAGTGAGTCCCACAGCTTTTGTGGGTGTGCGTGTGCACTGTGACCTGAACAGCCTTAGTTAGGCATAACCCAATCACAATAAGCAATGAGGTATTCCCTTGTCTCACAGTAGTTAACTCTTTTAAAGGAAATAAATACATGATTTGATTGTTCAAATCATTCGACTGATGTTTGCATACATGAGATTCTAAACCGAGTAATTTCGCTTTCGTGCTTTTTTCAAGGATGTGTTGGTTTGTACCCTTATATATGACAGCTGAAGTCGCAGTCAATACAGCATCAAACTCTCTTGTTTAGTTAGATTTTCTTGTACGTTTCTTTAGCGGCATCAGTAATTCTAAACAGCTTTCATTAGGCTGTGTGGAAGTTAACTGCCTGTCCTAAATTACATCGAGTAATTATTGGGTGTTTGTATGCCACAAGGTATCAATTCCTGCTAACGCGATTTCTATACTTTTTTGTCAAAAACTCACAAACGAATTTCACTTTTTTAATTATTTTTCCACGCTTTTGTGTGGTCACGACAAAAATTGAAAATCCAAGCATAATGTATTATCAATACAATTACCTTGTCGGCTCTAGTTTGACTAGATTTAAAGATAAAAACCAAGTTTACCAGGCGCAGGATAGTTATCATTCTGCCAGAAAAATTTTCTTCTTAGTCTATAAAGTAGCCACTGCGTAATAAACAAAGTTTTATTAATATTCTTTTCCATAGGTAAGATTTTCATGGCAATTTTACGTCTGTTTTGCGCTACGTTTAAACGTAATTTGTGGAGCAATCACATAAATCTATTTTAGTAGTCTTTAAAAATAAACCAACTTCTAACTCCGTCAAAATTGTCAACGAATTTGCTGTTTTAGCACATGTACATCGGCAATCATCAATAAATTACAGAGTTTAGTTGCTATAATCTTGGGCTTTTTCGAACTTCTAAGTTCTGCATTTCATTAATTCTCTCAACTGGAGCAAATCTTACATGGGATATTTCGATATTATATTGCATGACTGAACATTTTAACGATCATAGACCGAAGCAAATAGTTTATCTGAAGCTAAGTTGGCGAATTGTGAAGTGATTGCCAAAAGCTGATTTAGACAGTCTCACCACCATGGATGAAAATCGGTTACAATTGCTAGATTGCTTAGGAAGCTTCGTTTATTCAATAAAGCAACTTACATGAATGTCTTTCTTTTACTTAAGAAAAATTGATGCTCTAATGTGTTATTATTGGTTCGTGCGAACAATGTCACCAGAGAAATGACAAATTAACATTTCTGATCATTCGTGATGGAAAGCATTTTATGGAGGAAAAGAACGGAAGCAATCCGATTCTGATCACGTAGAGGTTTTCAAGAGCACAAAGATTTTCAGCCCTGCTTTAGACTGAGATTTTCGAACTAAAGGTCCTATTATAATGAAAATTTGCAAAGATGATATTTCTAATGAAGCAAATACGATCTGGTTGAAAAAAAATTGAGTGCATTTTGTCGTCTCAGTTTCATAATTTTTAGGTTGTAAAGGCGAAATGGTAAAATTAAAAAAATTCAGATTTTCGTTTACAGAATTTGATGGCAGCTGTTGTGATTAAGTATTGAGGCAACCTTTAATGCATATTTGGTGTTTAAATATTTTTGTATATTGATGTTTCTGATTTTTTACAATGTGAATTGAATTATGTTGGTAAAGAACGTAATTTACGTTCTGTACTAAAAAATTCCAAAAACATAGGCAGTTCGTTTTGTTTGCGTCAATTGGAGGACATGGCGCCGTGTTTGTCTTCTGTTGATTGTCTACTTTCTCATCTGGACGGAATGTGTGTTTGTGGACATGCGCAATGTGTTTTCCACATGATGCGGACATGTCCAATTACGAATCAATGGAATCATTAAATAAGGAAAATGGCAACAGGAATCACCATCACATAGAGCATATGCTTAAGGCCACGCAAAAGCTTTCTGTGCCGCCTTCACCCCGTCGACACCTTTCAGATTTCTTGTATGTTGAACATTATGAGAATGGAGGGGGTTATATTTTACACGCATACGCGCACGAAATTGCCTGTCTTTCGCCAGAGAACACCCAACTTCTTGCTAAAAAGTTCTTCCGATCACTGTTCATGGAACGCAAAAAGAGGTGCGCTCCAATGCCGTTCTCCTATTTCTGTATTGGTGTTGTACATGGTGCCGCTAAGCATATGCCAGAGTTTGTTAATCACATTGCCGAAAAGCACCCTAACCTTGTCGTGTCTACAAGTCCAATCAATGCTAAGAACGCCTCATATACTACCACCGCCAAGGAGTTTGCTGGAAATGTCTTTCGGACCTATTGTAATGGGTTGTACCGATTCGGTCCAATGCACGCCATAAGTCTTGTTGGCGTCAAAGGTGAGGAAAGAGGCGATTTCTGTGAGGATATATTAGAGATAATCGAGAAGGACCCTTTCCTTCGAATGATTTTGCCTTGGGGCAAGCTCTCTTCTCTTAGTTCCATGGATCCCCAAAAAAGTAACGACGGTCCGATCCTTTGGGTTCGTCCAGGTGAGCAAGCTCTCCCTCTCCATAGTCATTCGAGATCTCGAAGCAGGTAATTACTGCCTATTTCACATATTGATGTATCTATTGCGTGGCCGTTAAAGTAGCAACACCAGCTCATGTAGAATCTCTTAAATTAACACAGATTTATAACAAATCGGCGAATGCGTCTCCTGTAATACCATTATATTGGGCTTTGTTGATTTATCAGGTCATCTATAGTCACGATAGGCATTCACGGTGTGCCAAAAGACGAAATGTAGTGAATTATTGGAAATTTTTAATACTGTTTAAAGAACTCTCGAATTATGACTTACATATTGAGAAAAGGTTATAATGTAAACTATTCGAATGTAAATCAATATGAACCAAAGTCCCACTCTGTTAATATTACGTTAGAATTTACCCTTCTCTTTAAGCCTTCTTAACGTCGATGGCAATAATTTTCAGTAGTTCCTAGCTAGTTTTGTGATTTCTGGTGGTATTTAAAGAATCGATAGCTATGATTCTTGTAATTTGACAGTTGTCTATAATATGTGTGATTAACTTTGCAATTGTTCAAGGTGGTAGACCACTTGAATTTTGAAAATTGATTTTATAAGCTTGACATGCCCTTGATTGTTAAGGGTACTATTAGCCTACCTTGTAATTAATTGCTCGCCACATTTAATTCCTTCAATATTTAATTATGCATACTTGCTCTGTGAACCTAGGATATTTCCATCCAGGGTATCTTTAGAAACTTTGCTTTTGCCTTCCGAAGTACAACCTCTCCAATATGGCAAATATTTTTCTCTAAAATAAAATGAAACTAAAAACTATTTTACAATTGCTTATCATGGCTAAACTGCAGTTTTTTCAATGTGTGTTCTGGTGAGTATCCTTTTGAGCTGCGTGGACAAATAAAATGAAGTTAAGCTGTCTGTGTGTTTCGTTCTATACCTCTTTTTTTTTTCAACTCCTCCTCGGAACGCACTTTTGTCAAGTAACCTGACACATTACCCAAACATTATGTTAATAATTTTATTTTATTCAAACTTTTTTTCACGTTTAGAAAAGCTGCAAGTTTCTCGTTGGGCACATTTACATCATCTCGGTTAAGTAGTCCTCGTCAGGTTCTTATACCTGATCGTACGCCCTGTCACGCCGACCACGCGGACGATGGACTCAAACGCCACACGACAGCTGCCATTGGCTTACTGAAGGCTGTTCATCCACCACCAAATGCCGTTTCGTCGTCAATCCCTCATGAATCACCGGCCACCAGTGCGTGTGTCAACGGGAACCCTTACTCCTCGGACTCGGTTTCCGGTCGCATTATCAAGGATGTTGTCGTTTTCGACCCACGACATTACTGGGACCTTGTTGAACGACTTGGTTTGGATATTATGGAGCCGCCAGTTAGCCAGGTATTCTTTCAAATCCAATGTTAATGTTTTTTATTTGTCGATAAAAATGCCTTCATCCGAACCAAACACGTCCCACATTGTTCTGCTGGCACTTAGTGCACAAATTATCGCCTCTTTAAGTAAAATAGAAAGTGCCTGATTGATACAGACAGGCACGAGTTGCTTGTCTGTTTGAATACAAACTGGTGATTCGAAACCACCCTTGTGTGTTTACGGCAGCGAGTCTATCATAATTGGTCTGTACATTTGTTGACTTGAATTAGCTGAAAAACAGTCCTCGTCAAATGCACTGAAGTGGCAGCTAACAATCGCAACCAATCTTTAAATTCCCGAACCTCATTAAAATGACTGACTCAGAGAGAATAAGGTGCCCACGCAAGCTGTCTCCCGGTGGTGCTCCGAAAGGGCATGAATTTGGTTGACTTTCATTTCAACCGAAACATAGCATTCATTTTTCTCATAAATTGGGATGTTAGGACGCGTGGGGAACATAACACATACCCTAGTTTATTTGTTCCTACGGTGCTTACCGTTGATTGGCTGTCAGCCTGAATTTCCTTCAGCACAGCGTCCCTTTGATTGGGTTCTATCGCCAGTTTCAACCGTGGTTTCCACGTAATAGGGCTAAGACGCTTCAAATGCAATGACTATGCCATCAGTGTCACTCTGCACTACAGGTCTGTGTTCAATTCCCAATACTAAACGTTTTTGCAGGTGCTCCTTGAGCAAAAATGAGCTAACTCTTTGGTCTAATTCACCAACACGAACTTGTAAATCGGTCGTTCAATGCCTGCTATCTGTGTTGATCATGACGCTTCTGTGGTTTATTCGGGTCCTAAAGATACTGAAAAACCAATGCTTTGTGCCAACAAGTCCGAGGGACCTGTGCGTGAATACTTCACGGTCAGTTCAGGTTGTTTCATTTAAAAATGTCGGTTAACATAGTTGACACCTGACAGTTGAGCACGTTCATAATCCACTCGCCGACACAGCAGTCCCCTCACCGCCACCGGGAAGACGGCAAGCACCGCCGAGGTGTGAGGCCTTCCGATGAAGATTTGCGTCTTAGCAGATACGACTCGCAGACGCTGACTCAGGTTGGAGCATTGTGGTTGATTTTGCAGGTCAGAAACATCGTGCAATTTCTGCCAACATTTGGTCATACATCTAGTTAAGTTTTGACCCACGCCTCGTCGTCACACTGCGTCCACACGATGTCCGATGTTGTTGAGAACGGTTTACAAGTTGGTACTCATCATGCTAATTAAGCACAGGCTACTCATCAATTGCGTATCCGGCAATAGAAAAAGGTTTATTAGATCATGAAGTGATTGTGTTCCTGCTTTCCCCTAATTGATGAGTTATGAGTCCGTTTTACCACAAAACGTCTTTTCAACTTTTGTGTTAACCACTAAATTTCTTACGAACTCGCTTCTGTGGTTGTCTTCCTACCTTGTGAAATAACGACAAAATTTTGAATCTAAATGTCGTTGAAGACAAGCATTTTGAGGCGCACCAATGAAACCTTGTTCGGACGTCCGACGAAATTTCCAGGTGGATGGAAAATCACAGTTACTTTTGAACGGATTTCATTATCACGGATTTGCTGAGGGTCTGGTAATTGGTGTCTGCGCGTGTGAGTACTATTGTAGTGGCTTGTGGTCTACCGTGCACTACCGTACAACCCTCTGGTTAGCAGCCCGAAACAACCTGAGGCTGGAGTGAAGAGAGCCGACAGAGGACACGAACGTTTAATAGCGTCACGCCAGCAAAGTGTGTCTTAGTGTGTGAGTGAACGGATGACAGGCATCTGATAACAGTAGCCAATGAAAAGGGGATGAGTCATCGTCACCGTCAGTTCGGTAAGCAGGGTTCACTCGGGTGCGATCCCTGTTAATCTGCTACACTATTCTAAGACAGGACTGTTTTTGCTTCAAGTGCGGCAACTTTTGGGCCGACGACGGTGAGCTGAACCTCCTGCGGATGGAGGGTTTCCGCTACGCGCGTCTGCCCCTCTGCGACAATGACATCTACTTCCTGCCTCGGGGCGTGGTGCACCAGTTCAAGACGGTTTCCGCCGGCACCAGCGTGGCCTGGCACACCCGCCTCAAGTCCTACTACCCCGAGCCCGCCGGAGATGAGCCCCCCGAGGCCTCGAACAGCCAGACCTTCCTGCAAACCTCCCCCTCCATAGCCGCGGCTGCCAGCGAGAGCGCCCTTCGTGCCGCAAAGTCCCAGGCTCGAGCCCTCAAACGCTCCGCCCCAAGCGCCGCCACCAGCCCCCACCCACCGCCTCCTGAGAAGGTTCCAGCCGAGGAGCCAGTCAAGCGTGATGACGGGTGACTTATCGCTTATCTGGATGTTTGCATGTCCGTCCGCGTGAACTACTGTGTGTGTGCGTGTGTAATACGTTGTACTACTTTTTATCAGCATCGTCTTCTCTTGTGGCCCACTTGTTTTATCTTCATCAGCTTCCTGTGACTTATTCTTGTAAATACACTCATTTGTTGAATGACGTTGATGTTGTTTTATGTAACTAGGGCCTGCGCGCATTCTCCGGGACTAGTTTTTAGTTTGACTGCAATGCTTTCCAATCTCGCGTTGCTTGCCATGAATCTACCTGGCGGAGTTTGGGATAATGCACTCAATCCCCGCGCCCGTCTGTCTGATTCAACACACCTGATGTGCGACCACCGATTGCCCAATGCTAGTTGGGCCGATTTGGCCTTCAAGTTTATCGGTTTTGAGCAAGGTTCCGTTGGGAGGCATTAATGCGTTTTTTACGTCAGTTCTGAGTGATTATTGCGTTGGTGGAGTTTGAATTAAACCTGGTAAAGACCACGCCCTTCGTTTAACCGAATAAAAAAGGAACAGCGAGGCAATAAGGACGGTGATATGCGGGGTCGTTTTAGAGGTTCGCCTAACAGGGCGTAGCGGCGTTAGTGGCTGGCGCCGTGAGACACTTTTTCGCTTGAACTAGAGGCCTGTATTCAACAACCAGAAAAACGAAGACTGAACTCAATTTCAGTAGTGAATCTGTTTCTGAAAAAGTACCGGTGACGTCCGTGCATTGTGCTAAAATACATATCAACCTAACCACTTTATGCATTGCTACAGTGAGTGCTTCTATAAACACCGACTAAGTAATCACGCCTGCTTTGTTTAAAATCAATCATGCACACAGGATAATTTCCTTCAATAAAACCGAATGTCCTCAGCAGTCGGATCGTAGAGTGGTCTGTACTTGAAAAACATGTCGGTCAGCTGCTGCTTGTATTGCTCCCTGAGGTTGTCGATTTCCTCGTCAGTCGGGGAGGGCGTTCGCTTGCACACGATCGGCTTTCCAACTGTCGGAAAATCAAGCAAAGCAACACTGTAAGTCAGTTGAGCGCTCACCGTAACAACAACCGCTCATGGTAGTTTGAATATGCTTTTAATGTGCTTAGATTTGCGAAAGAAAACCACGCACCACAAACTGATTATCGCTATCGACGGTTTTGTTTTAAAACGAGTTTCTGCACTAACGATATGGCAAATCCCATCTACCGGTGCGCACAGTGATTAGTGTGAGAAAGTGTAGCTTTCAAGAAAGCCTTCTCTCTTCAACGGCAGAATTCACCTGGAACGGAGCTGAAAAAAGGGGCAAGCAGGTTGGCCGAATGACTCGTGACGCTTACCGACGACATTGAGCGGCTTGCGGTACGGAATGACGCGCCACGAGTAGAATATGGGAGGGGAGAAGGTGAAGGTGTGTGTGAACCAGTCCTGCACCCGCCGCAGGACAGAACCCACGGGATTGGCTACCTGGTCGTACATGTTCGTCTCCCCGAACCCCAGCGAGGGGATTAGGTGAGCTCTACATAAAGTAATAAAGAAAAAATATTAATTTTTTAGTGCTCAATGCTGATTTACAGACACCACACCAGGGATTCGGCGAAATTGTCCCCATTCTAAAACCTGCAAGAGGACAATCAACCCGGTTAGAAACGGGTTTGAACGAGTTCCAGGAATTTTGGGGAGGGATTCACTTTAGACAACTGGCTGACAGGGTTTTTCTACACACCCAAACAAGCGAGTGAACGCGAAGCAACAGGCAGTTCGCGGGTGGCCTGTGTTCGAGTCCCGCCACTGTCTTTTCCGATTTCCTCGTTTAAAGACTACAAAAGTTGCGGAAAATTTTGTACACAATGTCCAGTATCAAATTGGCTTGTTATGCTCAATATATGTAGGTGTTCCGATCGTCAACATGAGAACGGCTATTTTTCGGATAGTAGTTACCGTAGAAACATACAGCACAACACATAACTTATGAAACCCACAATTTTTCTGACACACAGCTGTTTCAAGGGACGATGTAAATTTGAAAACATGGTTCTTTTGTCTACAATTGCCGACCCAAACCACGCGTGTTTAACTATTGGCCAATAAGGCTTAACTGGGCAAATTCGGTTAGCCTAGTACTGAGGGGCGAATCCCTCTTCGCAAAACGGTTATCAGCCAGGCTGATGGTCGCCTTGTTAGAATGAAATCGTGGGGGAGGGAGGGGGAGGCAAAAGTGTCCGAGCATACCCCGTTTTGAGGGCGATGCGGAAGAAGCCGCGCCGCCGACTGAGCATGAGGACGTAGTGGCCGGGCCGCGACTCCAGGGCCTCCGTCGCTCCGCCCACCGACACCGCCACCAGGTTGCCCGTGACCCCCGTCAACTCCTTGTCCAGCAGGTAAATCAGACTCTCCCGGCTCACTGATACCCCGCCTTTTGTGAACACAAAAAACCCATGAGGGGAAAGTGCACTGCTGTTTTAAATAAAGCCCAGCCATAGTTACACGCCTGACTCAAGTTGGGGCATCCCATCAACTTTTTTTAATTTACAGACAGAACAACCTAAGCTTCATCGCTCGCCAAACGTTCAAGTCTGATCGTGTTGTGCGGACGCTACTGATCAATTACCATACATGTTTCAAATTATTGTTCACATGTTGCATTTTTGGAGGTAAAGACATTTAGCATCAAGGAAATCCGATAGTGGCGATGTAGAATGAGGATTTGGGCGCCTGTGCCAGCTTAACAGTCAGAAATCTAGATTTGCCTGAGTCGTCACTTGAAGCAATTATCGTGGGGGCCCAAATCTTTCCGTCTGATAGTCACAGAACTGTCGGTGTTCCCTTGATCCAAATACTGGCATATGAAAACACCTCCTGTAATTGCGACGTAGATTTACTCGATCCAAGTAAGGTAAGACGATGGAGCCGTCTAATAATGTGATAAACATGGTGCTTTGGAGATGTAAGAGTGGTAGACAGTGATGGGACCTTTTCATGCTAAGCACACAGAGCCGAAATTCACACTGACCAACGCAAACAGACATCATTTCAATAAATCATCCGGCCGTTATTCGATGCGGTTTGTGCGCAGCTTCGAGAAATTTGGTTGGCCTTTTGAACCCAGACATTTGTTTAAATAGAAAAAAAATTCAAGGTCACAACCGTTCGGCTACGTCCAGTCAAGCATACCCGCTAATAAACTGACTAGAAAACTATAGTGGGGACTGATGTGTTAAGATTGTCAAACAAGTTTCGTGACGTGTGAAACCACTGCAGCGAATCATGGAGTTCCTGTGAAATCGGCGACAGATCCACTTTTGTCGCCGTCGACATCATCATCTAATTTCGACAGTGCCGTGTGTCCCTATGTTATTATCAGTTTCAAGACCAACTGGCTGTGGACCGGGTCACGACTAAGTGGAAGCGAGAAAATGCAGACTCCCACTTTGCTCAACAAGCGCAATCTGAATTAGGGCATAAGCAGTGATTTTAACGCCCACCACCTGAATTACCTGCCGACTTCTGTGATTGGCTGGAGATATACACCGGGGTCCCCATCTCCCATAATGCCTCGTGAACTAAGCAGAAGCTTTTGAAGTGAGCTATCCTAACTTGATCGCACGGTTCAACTCGATCTCTCAATAATGTTTCCCCCTTTTGATAGTACATGGCTCCCCATCAGAGTGAGAACATTTGAGCGGGCGAGTTAACAATGAGGCGGCATGGCAGATAGTCACCAACTTGGCGCTCCGTCGTTAGTCGACGGCAAACTACACAGCATGATGGCGGCGTCATGTGATCGGCGTCGTGGCGCCATGTGAGCATTGAATAGCGCGCCGCGAACTGGGAACCAATCAACTCACGAGTTTGCCGTCTTCATTGCAGCGCCACGAACGATTTTATGGGAGAACAGGACGAACGGGACAAGACTGTGTAAAAACTCTGCCCCCCTGCCCCCCCCCCCACTATGATATTAGCCCATTAAAGTCGTTCGTTTAATGTGTTAGCAAACTCCACTTGGGGCAGGGAAACGGCTGTATGTCGTCAGCAATTTGAGGAATTAATGCCATGCTACTTAAGTTGGCTTATTTCATGAGTGAAGCCAATCAACCCACACGGTGGTTGATTTACCATTCAAAGAAAGGAAGACCAGTTTTTTTCACAAAAGCTTGCTAGTTTACGTTTTACATGGGTTTTTAACGTTATCTACTCCTCAAATCGCAGAGCTCGCCTTGTGGTTTAATGGGTTCGCCATTGTTATCACCCACTCTCCCAGACAACCTGATTGCTGCATATGATCAGATGAATCTGAACTCGAAAAACGTACAAATTATGAACAACACGCCCTTATCACTAACACCAAAATGATCAAAACAAACTGGTAATTCATGCCGAGTGGTTTACACGTGGGGGGAAGGGGTTTCTACAGCACCATGAAATTCCAAAGTACCTTCTCTTTTGAAAGAGGAACAAAAGATTAAAATTAATGCATTAATTTAATGGGCTTTAAGAATGGATAAAAAGAAAAGGGGAAAGTGCACCCATGAATGTGGTTTCATGAACACGTCCGAGTTTTCACACATTACAAAACCCACGCCAATGCTGCCAGTTGAGACAATCAGAACACAGCCTAAAAGGCTCTGTCGTAATATTCTGGCGTAGCGCTTTACCCCTTAAAGTAATGTAGACCAGTGGAAAAGCATGGAAGCAGGTCGCAGACAGGGTAAATCTATCGAGCGAAAGCGAAGTGAGGTGAAAGCTGTGGCAGCGTCTTGAGCAGGTCCTTTAGACACCAGGACGGCTCTAGGAGCCTCTCATTACAGTAAAAGACTATCTTTATAGTAAAACCTTCTTCAAGACTCTCAATACTTAGACACAACCTTAATGTCGACCCAAGTAACCCCTTGACACGCAGCGAGAGTCGTGAGTTCGTGGTTAACCGAAGGATTATCGGATTCGTTTGGCCAGACAGACGCACTACCGCTCGTTCTGCACAGAATTTGTGCACCATAAAAGGCTGGCTGTTCCGTGGCAAAAGTAGTCTCAAAAGAGCAGTAAAACCCCCTGGACAGTTCTTCATTGCATCAATTCAAGGGGCATGGCTACACCGCTTCAACCTACATGTGTTGGAGCTTTGGAGTACTCAGACGAGGCAAAAGATCACCGCAAAAGAGCATTACCTTAGGTTGCTCAACTAGACGCGGAGACACCTTCAAATAACGCAGGCCGTTACGAACACCGGCATAATTAGACACGTGCATTGTCCTGATTGATATTCCTTTGCGCCTCCCTTGTTTTATATTCTTACACAAAGTTTAAAAGCCTCAGCGTAAATTCCCAACCCCTTTAGACACTTACGATCAGCTTTCAAGTCATGCAGCCAGAAAAGATGCCAGTCTCGTCAAGATTTTATTTGACTCACTTACGATATCCCACTATTGTAGTTCACATTGCCGATTTGCCAAAGGCTGAGATCGAAATTCTCAATTCCAAAGAAGTGCCACAGCCCTCACAGTATCCAGATATGACGCGTGACAGTTAATTCCAAGCACGACGAATATTCTGTTAAAAACTACAGCTATTTGTTGAGGCACCGAATCACCTGTTGACCATTGGGATAAAGTGGTAAATAACATCGGAGAATGCGTTTTTAAGTTGAACCTTGTTATCGGTTATGATCAAGTTCCCGGCTATGCAATAGATTAATTTCGTTAAACTGTGATGACTCATTCCACTGCCCACTACAGACTCAAGTCGTTAAGTGAAAAGCTGCAACAAGGATCGCATGTTTGCCCTTACAAGGAGGATGCAAACAAAAGATAAATTGATTATCCGATTATCAGAACGTATCTACCCACTTGTCACACGGTCCTCATGATTTGGCACCTATTCCTGTTGTTATCGTCTTCAGCTCACTCTGTGCCCCCAATTCACTTTGCGCCTTCCACATAAACACGACGCTCATCCATCTCCATTGCCTCTGACATTCTCTGGTTCATAATAAAGGAACAGGAGGCTAGCTGTAACACCTATCTCAATTAACAAAACTCGTCTAGTTAAATTTATATGCGGTTGTAACATAAAATCCAGTGAAAGAAAGCGATCACTCACGGATTATACACTCCATTTAAGCTATGCGGCTAAAAAAAGCGTAACGGCGATTAAGGAATTCGGTTTTCGAATAAAATAGAACGCGTAAACAGATCAACGGCAATTATTGCTACCGATACTCAAATTTAACTATGCAGTATGGCAAGTGCAAGTTAAAAAGAATTGCTATCAATACGGCAGTGTTTGCACTAGCTCACGTGAGACCGGTTACGACCGTTAATTCGCGTCAGACCAGTTAATGTCTGTGTATGAGGGTGAGCGAGCGTGATCATCTAGTGATTGTGAACAAGGTGACAATGAGTCATTGGAACGAATCAGCCTGCGAACAGGCTTCATTCACACGCCAGCTGACGATCTCCCACACGACTACCAGATTAACATAAAGGGGCCAATTTTGAGAGGAGTGAACGTCTTGGTAGAAGAATATGTTGAACTATAAAAGGAGATTCAGAACTCACCCCCAAGCATTATGTAGTCTCTATGGATAGGTATGTTAAACAGCAGATTTAATACTGCCATGTGAGGTTGGATGCCAGGGAACGTCTCCGAAAACTCCAGTGCGTCATTACCAAAAGATTCCACAGCCCCCAGGGCCAGCCATCCATGCGGGTGATAACCGACGAGGTAGTTGAATGCTGTCGGCAAACGCACTGCCACCCGCCCAGCTTTTGTAAAAACTCGGCCTTGGCTGGCTGCCCATTCCCTCAACTCATCGGAAACCACTAATCTGCTGGGAAAGTAGTTCATCGCCCATCTGAAAATTGGTAGTCTAGTGAACCACCGACAGTAGATTCCACCTCGTGTCGGCCATCTGCGTGTCGAAATCCAGTACGCAGTGTAAATTAGACCCATGATAAAACCACCGAGCCCCCCACCTCCTACGATAGCCTGACCCAAGATTATCCTCATGAGAGGACAAAGGAACATGTAGGTGTACAGAAAAGCACAAAGAGCAGGCTGAATAAGAAAGGACATTTCGAGCAGAAGAATTGCAATAAGAGAACGGAGGTACCGGAAAATCGACTGGCGAGCCATTTTACTGCAAGTAAATGAAAGAAACGGCGCCTGCACGTTCTTCCCACTGCTCCTGACTAATCACCTGGCACAGAGAATACTAGCATTAGGAGTTAAACTCAATCAACCTTGAGTTATTCCTATAGGTGAGCTGGATCATGCCAAACCGCGCGCCTCACTAATGAGCCCAAATTCACACAATAACATCGTTGACTGGTGTCGAGCAGAAAAACTTATTCCGTATCGCTTTACTCATCTGAGAAATCGGTTGCTTATTAGTGGGTTCGAAAATACCTGAGTGGCGAGGTCATGGTAGCCTTCGAGTCAAAAGAAAGGCATTGAAGCGTGACGAGCGCACCTAAATTCAGCAATCAGACGCTACTCCAAACTACTTCGTGTAATTAACAGTAGATCGACAATAGTCTTTCGCATTGAACACGAGCACAGCCCCACGTTTATGTGTGATCGAAGCGGAACAGTGATTAACTTTGGTGCGCAGTTTATCTTTGCGAAGGCATAAAATCCGAGTACATACGAACTTGCATAAACAAGTAACACCACGTGTACTTTATCTCTCCGGTTTCTAGGTGCGCTTGTAACCAACACTTCACCAGACTCAAAGCTCATTTAGCAAAAAGACTAATCTTGCATTGTGCACAATGCGTGTAAGTTAACCGTTTTCGTTGGCCCCAAAACGGTCGTCTCCTACTTGATTTGAAGCAGGCGAAAAAGAACGCATACATACATGCAGCAAAGTTTCGAGTGGTTTGTGAACTTATTACCATGAATTTTTATTAAAATTTCGTCACAAAATTAGGCAATTAACGAGCAGAGCTGGATAAAGTATTGGTAAGTAGGTTGGACAATATTAATCTCGTACTGAACATTGTTATTAAAAGACATCCAAAACTGCAAAAATTGTCAAAACGACTCAGTGTGTATCAGTGGTTGACAACTCAATGAGAAGGCAAAGGACTTCGACGTTCGGTCCTCTACAAAAACCGGAAAACCCATCCAGTTGTTGCTGTCTGCCGTCAATAACCAGCTAAAGTGTCTTGGATACGTCTACGTTTCCCTGCGTATACGATATGGTCGTTGATGGATGACCGAAAAGAATTTCAACTAATCAATGCTGCTTTATTACAATAGCGATGTACGGAAAACCGGTCATTCAATAGTATCTTTGCTGCACTGGTGGCAGCCAATGAGGATAAAGCCGTTTTGACAAAGGCAATATCCCACTTTCAGGCAGTAGAATGCCACATTATCGTTATATTTAACCCAAATGATTACGGAAATATGAACACTATTAAATGGAAAATGACCAATGGAAGAAGAACCCCACTTTCAACCCGGGAAACGTTAAGACTGCCACAGAATATTGATTCTTCCTCCTAGTAGATAAAACATAAATTTTGAATAGAACATTTGTCAGCTGGAGCAGTCGATTTTAATTGCGACAATTTACATTTTATATGGTATTTGCAGTACCGGCATTATCTACAATCCACGTTCTGCAATCATCGAGTTTTGACAAGTAAAGTACGCGAGAATTGTTTATGTATGATACACAAATGGATGGTTCAGCATCCTGATATGGTGAAAAGTTAGTTGAAATGCCAACTTTTTAGTTAGGAACTGGCACAGGTTGCAACAGCCGCGATATTTGCAGATTTGATTTACGTGACAAGGCCGGTGATGGTGCGGACACATAAACTACGCTTAAAACAGTCAATACACAAGCATAGAATCACTTAGCTAAATGGATGAAGCCTGTTAATACTATTGATAAACATGTTATAAGAAAAACTTTCGAATTACTTAACTGAAGTGGGTGAAATTCACTTACCGCCAAACAGAGCATAATCCCTATAGAATGGCACGTCGTAGTGTCCATTAAGTGTGGCCATGTGTGGTTTAATGCCGGGAAAGACTTTTGAAAAGTTGAGGGAATCACTTCCATAGGCCATAAGCGCGCCGATTGCAAGTGGTCCGTGAGGATGGTATCCCACGAGGTAATTGACAGAAGTTGGAAGTTTTACTAACTCCAAATTTTCGCCAACTTCATAACCATTCTCTTTGGCCCATGTGCACAGTTCTTCGGAGACGATTAGACGTGCAGCGAAATAGTCGGCCACCCACTTCCACAAAGGAAGGTTCCTGAGCCATTTTATTCTACGTCCTCCTCGATAAGGTGTGTCGATATCCCAAATCCAATAGACGGTGTAGATTAGGATAACGAGGAAGCAAAAGCAGCTATACATATCTGCGATTGGTTGGCCAAAGGTCATTTGAAATAGCGGATAGAGAAAGAGGCTTACGTAAGCACCGAAACATACGAAGGGGAGGATCACGATGGAACAACCAAACAGAAAAACTGCAAATCTAGCCCGAAATCTGTAAAGCACAGAGTGATCGTACCAGCCCACCACCTCACCCATTCTGGAGTTAAAAACTGACCCAAGTCCGTGTCCAAGTTGTCAGCCATTCACGCGCTACCCAATCATGTGCCAACTTTAAACTCATTGGCTTATACATGTGAGAGCTAAGAATGAAATCAATGCATTGATCAGCCAATCAGGTTTCGGCAAACCGGCACCAATAATGTAAGCGGGAACCAAAATAACTCCAAATTGAAAGACGCCTAGCAAAATTATAAAGAAGCAACTTCAACCGGAGGAATTGAAATCAACGGCGGTTTTATTCAATCGTGTAGAGGTTTACAGGGCACATTGCAGTCACAGTAGCTATCATCACCAACACTCACTTCATTGGTGAATTGGTGGCTTGAATTTAATCGCGATGACTCACGCCCATCGAGCCCGCCGTCGCCTGTCCAGACATTCCGCTTGCCTTCCCGTGCAAACACGTCTGATCGTGCATAATGTGCACATAGCCCCCCCGCCACTGCTACCAAGCCTCCTGCTATTCAGGTATTGGTGCAATTCCTAGTTCCAGCGACATCTATTGGTCAACTGCCTCCATTAGTCATGTCCATTTAAGCCTTATGGGAATGCACGGTGTTGTAGGCACAGCGACAGGGCACAACAGAATTGGGCCATCTGTGAACGCTTGAGGTTCTCCATTGCCTCGCGGCTCATTTTTTTTAGGCGTTCGTGTTGTGACATGCCAAAACAGGCTGGTTGCCATAAGGGGCTTACGAACAGGTCTCACTACATGTTTGCAATTCTGAACGTAAACCAGATACTGCCATCGTCTGAACCTAAAACTCGTACCGTTTAAGAGTTGTGTTTGTTGGGTCTTCTTCATAGACAAGTAGCCTATACTAGAGTATTCCTCGTCGCCCTGTGGGAATTTACTAATCAGAACAGAAGAAGAATCCCGAAGGCACGTCAAGTTCACCGTTTTGCTGATGAGCAAAGGCGTGTCACGATGCTAGCCAATCAAGAGTCAGCCAGGAAACCTGGTAAAAACGTGTGGCGTTTTAGAGACCCCTAGTTTGTATGACCAAGCGATATCAAGTACTTAAATTGCAATCAAATTTGGCCTAAATATTAACAAAAGTAGTAGCGCCCTTGTTGGAAAAGATCAAGGTGTCAGTTAGCCGTTTTCTCCCAGGGTTTTGGTGTTTCAGGTTAAATAAGTCTATTTAAACACAACACCAATCCATTATGGACGTCAAATGATTAAACGAATTTCATGCTTTTCAAGTGACTCATTCTGATTGAGCAAGGGCACTATCCATGTTCACCCTGACCTGAGTTCGGCCAGATCACGTTAGACAACTGTTGTATTACGAAATGTCTTTAAATTAGTCAAATCTTTCGGATTAGAAGCTGAACAGCGACTGACCACATGTGGGCTTCAGATTTGTGTGGAATGGAGGGCCTGAAATATTAACGCACCAAAGTCAACTCTACTCATTCACAATAATCTTTATGGGCGGTGTCACTGGCAAACTGGCTTTGTCGTCTTGTGGTGGATCAAGTCTATTCCAAGGGAAACCATCTAAGTAGGACAGAGAGCTGAAAGAGTCAGCGCGGGGCCATAAATATTTTCTGCCCAAGTTCCTGGTTTAGAACATTCCCTCATTTTAACGCTGTTATCCTTTTAGTAAAATCAGCGTTAAGTTCCTGTTTTGTTTGACGACGAAGGAACATTTACTGATTCACCCCAGTCATGTTTGATAGATGTCTTTGCCCTTTCAGCCAAACTCAATTTTATTTACGTGGACTTAGTGAAGCACTTTTAAATGCCCGGTGTCTCCAAGTAGATGTAAATACCGATCGATACGACTATCTGCGAGATTTGGTAAGGTTTTGTGTTCGCAACACATGTTCCTTCGGCTATTAGCACATCCACTGAAACTTCTAAAAGACTGAGCCTTTAGTGCAACCAAACAAACCAGTTTCTTATCATGAGGATTTGTTTACTTAAAAACAAATCTAATTAGTTGTCGACCCTGGTTTTAATCTGGGCTGAAGTTTGGTGCCGTTTTGATACAGTGGATTTGTGAGGGTCACTGCCTTGGATTCTAGTCAAAAATGGATTTGAAGCTGCCATGAAGCCGCCAAATCCTGTGAGAAATTTACTACGAGTTGGCACCCATAAATTGCATCAACAAAATTGGATCAAAACAGATCAATTTTGAACTACTCTACAGCGATTACTACTGGTGATTGGTGACTTTTGATTGACGATTACTGCAGCACCTCTGGATCCTGGTCATATTCAAGTAAACAACATTTCCGGCTCGGTTTTGTACAAAAATCATTTGTTTTACGAGGTGCAACTGAGGCTCAGTTTCTGTCCATGATTACTTTGAGTTCCCAAGTCAGATTTTCTGCGGCGTTTTACGTACTTTACATCGTGATCTCATGGTATTTATAGTTCACGACAACAGACTATCACTTGAGGCACATTGGCTTGGCATTCCACAATTTACTTGGTTAAGCTCACGAAAAGTCCTTGCAGTGTTATTGGTAAATAGTCAATCTCTACAATGCTGATAACGTATGTTCTGCTTCTCGCGATTCCACCTTAAAGCCCAACGCGGGCTTTTAACTGTCAACGCTGTGTTCGAATTCATTTCTATACAGGATTACCCAGAAGACACTTGAGTCTTTGATGAGACTTCACTGAAGGTGAATTGTTGGAATCAAGGATTCGGTCATGTAAACGAATGATTTACATGGTAGCGTTTGAAAGTACTCCTTGTTGTCGGCTTAAAAAGGCGCCCAGGATACAGGTTTGGTAGCCTCACTCGGTAGGTTATAACATAAGGTCTTGATTTTTATTAATGAGCCATATTATAGCTTACTGCTGGCAGTGCTTCCGAGAGTTTATGACCTTAGGTGTGTAACAGGAGGGAATTGATTCACGGATGCGAAGACGAGATTGTATGGGGCACGCCAGGCCAATATCGCCCAGACTAACCGATGTTTGCTACTTGCTGCCTGGACTATGGGACTGGTGAAGAAAGGATCTATCTCAAGAAAACAAATCGATCAAACCATTTATGCTCTAGAACGTGTCTACACTCGAAAATGTTCCCTATATCACAAGTAGCAGACAGCCTCGGGTGTAAAATAATCGAGGCCCGCGTGTGGGCGAGTCAACGGCGCCCCTCGCATTGGTACAGCGATAAAACACGGATGAGTCACCAACCCCGGTACTAGGACATGAGAAGCCACCTCGCGGAGAGCACCCCACTGCCTCAGCCAACGGCCGAGTGCACATCCGCATGCGTCCACGCAAAATGGCGTGTGAATTTATGTGGAATACGACGCTCAAAGATGAACGAGCCAATAGGAAGGGGGCGGTCGATACAAGAGTGGTGTTCGTGGCCACAAAGTGATAAGCGAAAGTAGTCTTGATTAATACTCAAGACCCGCAAAACGGTATTAGTAAAGTGTTCTGACAGCCACCAACACTTTAAAAAAAATCACGAAACCGCCAAATACTGAAATGTGTGCTGTTAAATTCTTGAGCATGTAATAGGCAGACATTCCCGATTTAAGCAATGACTTGTAAATTATCACATAAGAATGCATGATTGTAAATGGTGAAAGGCATCGTTCACAACGAAAAGACGCATTTGTGAGTTCCCCTAACAGCCTCAAAGTGAGTTTCGAAGCTGTTTCATCAAGACAACCCTGGCTTCATGAAAAGAAAGTTCGTTTGTGTCGTTTCGCGGTCCAATAGGCGTGGCGATGTTGGTTTCATTATGGCCATATTGAGATCGCGACATACATGAAATTAGCATAAACAATGATAATAAATTGTTTTGGAAATTACAGGTGACATGTGTTGCCAATCTACAGTTCCTACAAAACAGTTACTTTCTTGGTATACATGAAAATAAAATTCAATTTTATCACTTCATTTTCTAGCATCAGTTCACATTGAATTATAATGTAATTTCTACTCACACTCACAAGTAGACAATGATTTATACTTATTTGGTTCGACTGTAGGAAAAAACACTGATTTAGCAACCCGTTTTCAATAAGTAGTATTCTAGTTAAGAGTGCTCAAAATTTTGCCATTTTTGGATCTTTACGTGTAAATGCTGATGTTCAAATTCCTTTAAGCCAAGCCCGTATTGCTAACAGTTAATGTAAGCACCCCTTACCGGTGTCAATTCAGTTGGACTGTCTTCTTAAAGAAAATCATATATTTGGGATGCAAATACTCAACGACTGTTCGTAGTAAAACCGCTTTATCAAAAAGGCAGCGAATGTGAGACACGTCTATGGCTTTGGGAGAAGTTGCATCGGGAATTTAGAACATTAAAACAGTAAAGGACATTCGACAGCCAATGGTTTGCTTTTAATTTTAAAACAGCAAAATTTTTGAAGCCGATTTAGCTCGTAGTTCAGGACGAGCCTAGCATTAACCTAAACGTGCTAACAAAATTAAGCGCAGAAATGCGTAAAACGGCTGTCATACAGTTTAAGCACTTGACCAAGTGTTTCCTTGATCTGACCTCTACCAAATTTGCATTTAACTTGTGTCGGTATGAAGTGATCAGCTTTAAATTTTGTCGCATTGGAGCAGGTTGTCTAACTATTCGGCTACTTCTAACACGCTCTGGTTTCCTTCTCAATTCACTGATAGCTAGATTTTCGCATGGAATACGTGAATCCAGAGCGTGGGCAGGTAGCGCTTCATTTTGTGATCTAATTTTTTTTTCAGAAATACTTTATGAACATGTTTATTACGTTTGCCCGTAACAAAGAAGAAACCCCTCAAATAACGGTACCAGATCCCTTGTTGGCGCTAGCGCCAAACTTCCCACGCTAATGCAAGAACAAGACCAGATCTTGTGTAGAGAGCTTTAATCCCGTCAGCCACGTGCGGAGTGAGTTGTCAAAAGTGGAACTAATTCAAGTCAAGGTTGACCTTGACCTGATAAAAAGCGTAATAAAACACATGTTAGTGAATTAGTGTAGATTGTGCCAGAAACCAACGACGAGCA